TTACAGTGCCAGGCATTCGCTGTCTTCACCCCCAGCCTTTTCCTGGGACTGAGTGGGTGATGCCTCACCATGAAATCAGAACTGGGTCTGGATAAACCCTCTGAGACAGTTTGACTGGGCAGTGAGGTGTAAAGTGCAGGCCTGCCATGAAGGACATAAGGCTGCTCATGAAGGTTTTCTTCTTGGTGTCCAGGCCCAATCCTGACTGGACAGTTGGAGTTCAGCCTCCGTGAATCAAACAGTCTTGCTTTCAGTGGTTTGTTGCCACTTTTCAGTCTATGAATAGTTGCTTCCTAGAGCTCAGTAAAATGATTTCTTCCAGTATATCTTCAAATGCTATAAAGCATTTGGGAAGTTCAGCGTATAAAGTGCAGAGACAAGCACTGTTTAATTTTTGTTATGAGAGAGCTTGAAGCAAGTTGACATTTATGAGCTGATTTCATAGGAGAGAGAAGACCATAAGGAAGAGTCTTGCTAGTCTGAGTTTCACAATAAACTCTGAAAGACCATACTTCTAGCCAGTTGATCTGCTTGTACAGTTTTTTGGTATGGTTTTTGCATGTCTGAAGACTTTTTAAGTTCCTAGCTATTAGTGCTCCCTGGTAACTCTGAGATAAAGAGAGCTTGTACTTTACTGATCTGAAATGCCAGCCAACTCATTGATTTAATGGTCAGTAGCTTTCAAATGCCAGAGGCAGATTCTTCCTGATATGGTGCAGCTCTGTAGCAGAAATGGAGTTAAAGGCTCCAGAGGCACAAATGTAGAGAAGAACAAATATTTACCCTGAGTTGGACGGGAAGTGCGCTGGATTGAGATTTCTGCCCTTGCCACTTTAGGCCGTTGTTAGCTAATAAAAGGGATTGTTCTGACTCCAAAGCAGTTAATACCACGCCAGTGGAAAACCAGTGTGGAAGGGACTCTGGCTGGTTTGGGGGAGGGGGGTGGTGTGGTGGTTGTACTGTCTTCCAGGAGAGGAGAATTAAAAATTGTAGCAGACACTGAGAACCATATTCCACTGAACTAAAATGAAAACTACATTGAATTTACTTGTGCTTCTTGCAAGTGATGTGCTGATTTGTTGCCATTATCCAAAAGGATGAATTGATTGTCAGGAGGGTTTATTTTCCCTTTGCAATGTTTCCTAGCTCCTCCGGACAAGGAGAGGCTTTGGTGGTGAACTTCATGTTCCCACTGGGATCCAGCCTGGCTTATACAGTTACGGTTAGGGCTCTTACTGCTGTAGTGGTGTTCTCATCCTGAGCTGCAGAGGCAGGTTTTGAGAAGTGGCTGAGAAGCAGTGACTGAGCTCTGTGTTTCCAAGCTGCAGGGGCTGTGCCCTGGAGTTGGGAAATGCAGGTAAACTTACAATTTTCCTTTTCACCCTCAATAATTCCTTATGCAGCCTCCAAATGATTCTTTAGGTGGATGCTGGTAACACACAGTATAATGTAATGATACCTCCCATTTTCAGGACGTAGTACTTCAGAAGCAGCGTCTATATTTTGTCTTTCAGCCATGCTTGGAAGTCAGCAGCCACAGTTAAACCAGAACACGACATTACCACTGATGCCAGTGATACTAAACTCCTTTTGTGGAGGTGGCGAAATAGTGCTGCGAGTGTCTGTAATGATTTCTTCTGAATATGCATTTAATTCCTTGAGAACTGGCCTACTCTGTTGGAAAGCAAAGCTCTTCATTGTGCAGCGTTGGTCTCACTGACTATCATACCTGTAATTCTTTGGAGGTCAGCTGCTGATAGTGTAACTCTTCAACACAAACCAAGCTCTTTGAACCACCCCTGTGTTCTGGAGAACAGGCTAGGAGAGTAAATGCTAAAAGAGTTTATCAAATGCCTTTCTTCTTTTAAAAATTGTTAGGTGGCTTCAAATGCAAAGCAATGTACAGTGGAGGTACTTAAGGTTAGAAGATTAAATTGGAGGCTGTGGCAAATGGTGGCTGATCTCTTAATTCAAGTTCAAACAAAAGGCACTTTGGGTGGCTCCCTGGACTTGCGATGAGGTTTGTGTAGAGGATCTCCAATCCCTAGAGCTCTGCTGCGAAGAGAGGGCAGCCATTTGTGAGTATTTTTGGGTATCCTAGCAGACATCCAAGTATACCAAGGAATAAACCAAGAGGTGTAGTATACAGAGGTGAGGGCTGTAGAGCTGCACTTCCTCTATCACAGCTGAAAACCACTAATACATATGTGTATAAAGCTTCTGTCACTTGCGGCCTGTGGGCACAGAAACTATTCAGTAGGCCAGGAGACTGTGTTTTGGCTTATCTGGTCACACTTGTACTTCATGACAGGCCCTTTCAATGCCCAGCTTTCTTCGCTAGGGTTGTTTGTGTGATCCGTCTTGTCCAGCCATGGCCTTTCTTGTGCCAAGGTGTTGACAGGATCCAGGATTACTTTGTAATTACTCCCTAATTAACTAAGCACCTCCTTGTCAGCTTATACCACAGCCTTGGGCAGGAAAAGAAGCTGCAACCAAGCCTGTCTTTTGAGACTGTGTTGAGTGTGGGGAGGGTGACAAGCAGCTACCCACAAGACCCCGGCAATGCTTCCAAGTGCTTTAAGGTGCGAAACAAAGATTCGGAGAAGGAGGTGCCACAGAAACTGTCGGAGAGCAATAGCACCAAGAAGGGGAAAAAATCACATGAGACCCTGGGGGTTAATGCTGGTAATAAATCAGTGCTGAGTGCAGGGAAACTTGGACTGGATGGTTGAGATTTGTTTCATGGCCTGCCCAGCCTTTCAGTCCAAAACCTTCCAATTAAAAAGCTAATGATGGCCTTGTCTGTCTGTTCAAGGAGCAAGAGAGAGAGAGATTGTGGTGACTGTGGGTTAGCATCCTCCTTAGTTGATACAGTATATTCAGCTTCCAGACTACCAAGGTGGAAAGGATCCCATTTGGGGGCAGCTGGAACTGCTTTAGTAGTAATTCTATTGCTTAAAAAAAGCCATGTGTGCAGCAGTTTTCTGCCTGCTCTTAATAAACTATTAGTTGTTATTAGCTGAGTGCCTCAGTTGTTGTTCCAGATAATTTCATTTAAATAAAATTCCTTACAGTGTGGAATCGGCTGTAGAATTTGTTGCAAGACTTAGCAGATCTGTCCCAGCAGTCCTGTGATGTATGGCGTTGTAGTAAGCAGGCGCCCTGGAGAGTTTGTGTTCAGGCCAGACAGGGAATGCAGCCTGGCTGTGCATTCTGAAGCCCAGGTGCACTCCTCTGAATGCAGGACTACCAGAAGAGCAGCACTTGCAGCTGGGTAAATTGATTTTGTTTTCCAGCTGTGCATGATGTATTGTTTGAATATGCTGCTTTCTTTTCTGGTGATTGGAAAGGGAGTTGTCTTGTCATTTCCCCTACAACACTAGAAGGAAGCCTGGGCTAGCACCCATAGCTTTCAGCCTTTTAAAGACCTCACTTTGCAGATCACATGTGGAGACAGCATAAAACTGTGCTACTAGCCTGAAATTTGTGTGCTAGCAGCTCCATCCCCTTCTTAAAAGGAGCCAAACCTTTGTGGACACATCTTGACAGCAAAGCTGCGTTGAAATACTTGCTTAATATTCATCCCCCAGCATAAACACAAGGAAGGAGTGTGCCTTGGTGGCTGTGAACACTGCCTCCCTTTGAGCACGGTGGTGGTGTTCTGGATAGGCAGTGCTCCACTGAATTCTTTCTTTGGTTGCTTAAGCCAGACCTTTTTCCTGTCAGAAGGGAGGCAAGCAGCACTGCTCTGGCTCAGTTACAGCTTCTCCGGGGCTGTTACACAAATATGGCAGTGTCCTGGCTGTGTCAGAAAGTTTACGCTCACCCACGGAAAGCAGGGCTGCATGGAAGAGTGATTTAGCAAGGAGAGAAGTAAAGAGCATCTGGAAAGGTCAGACAAAGCTGGAATGTCACTGTCACAGCCACAAAGAGATAAAACTGCCCATTTATTTTTTTTAGTATCTGTCACTTATGTGGTTGTGGTAGCTTCGACATTTACATTGCTAAAATTGCTCAGCAGCTAAAAGTGCCTTATGACTGTTTTCTTGCAGCAGAGCTATTTAGATGAACTCCTAGCCATGTCACAGCACTGCTGCTTTCCAGGCAGAAGCTTTCTTTAAACTTAAAAATGGTGACTTACTGTCCTGCTTCCCCAGGTTTCAGGAATGTTGCCTGAGCCACTTTGGTACCAGAAAGGTATTGAATTTGGAAAGGACAGTGTGAAGAGGAAAGGGTATTGGCTGTCAGGAACAAAAGCAAAAGTTTAGGAGGTGCAAAGAGTGCCAGAGAGTGCATGTGTGCATGCACATGTAATACAAGAAGAACCAAAGGTAGGTTTGCAGTTGACAGGACTGGGACATAACTGGAAAGAGATAGCTGAAGATGGTATGTCATTAGAGCTTTGGCTGCAGGACCTCCAGCAATCACCTGGCTGTTGTGTTTAGTTAACTTGTGTCTGGGCAAGGGTTAATACAGTGAACTCTGAAGAAGCGGGGACTTTTCATGTCATGTCAGAAAAAGGGTGTGCATACCTGTTAAAATAGGTGTGCAGTTAGGCTTGTAGAGGTTACCCCAGCAGTAAACCTGCCTTGTATGCTGAGGCAGCAGAACAGTTAATCATATTTGCTTGCTTTTAGTAACATGTTATTCTTTTTATTATCTGACAGGTTATATTGTGGTAGAATGTGAAGGTCCTATTGTTCATACAGCACCCAGCACACAAATAGCAAGAGTTGATTTCAGTGTCAGGGATCTTGCTGATGAAGCTGGGTTGTAAAAAAAGGAAGCTACAAATCATAGTTAGATGGGAGCGGGGGCCACAGAGAGCAATTATGAGAAATGCATGCATGTACATGCAAACGCACACACGCTCCTTGATCAGGCATCCTCCATTGTGAACACTGAACAAGAGGCAGACCTGCAGGGGAGTCCTGGTGATCTGTTGCATCCAAAAATGAAATTAAGAGTACAATATATGGAAAGATCCAAGGGCCAAGAAACACAACTCTGTTTGCACCTCTTGTGCAGTTACCATAGAAAATTTATGGTGTGAGATTTGTATGAAGAAAATCCAGTTGATGGTATGTTTTTGTGCTATTATTTAACAGTAAGTAGTTTTCCAGCTCTGTGGAATTTCTGTAAGCCTCAAGATTAAGAGAGTATTTGTTTCCTCGTCTTTGGGACAGGGAGTTAGAGGTAAGCGGGATGATAATCTCCAGGCTTCTGCGTCTGCAGGCAGCAGGGAAGCACATCTGCTGCCTCAGAGCAGTGGACTGAGGAGACAGTGCTTCCCACCTGGCAGTGCATTTCTGCCCTCCGAACCGTGGTGTGCCTCACCTCACCACAGCAAACACAGGTGGGTTTGGTTTTTTTTGTCTAGCTGCTCCCAGGGCTGGGCCTGTGCCAGAAAGATGGCTGGCTGCTCTCCGAAGCCCTTTCCACTTTCAAAAGCTTGTTTGCTGGTGACAGGCAGCACAGCAGGGCTTAGTGGCCACCCTGAGCTGATTGCCACCCCTAGCTGTGACTCAGGGTGTGGGGAGGAGTGGCTGTGTTGCCCAGAAGGTGGATGGGGTGAGTGGGTGGTTTCAGTAGGTTTCCTAGAATAACAAAAAGGATCCTGTGTAGATGCATGAAGCCAAGTCAGTAAAAATTGCTCCAAACAAGACTGCCAGGATTGCAAGACACAGCGGACAGCAAAAATTTCAGCTCTCCCTTCTTCCCTTGCTCCCCCTGACTTTCCTGCCAGATTTCTCCAGCCTCCTCCTATCTGTCTGTCCAATCTCCTTCCAATTTACTACTTTGAAGTAAGAAGAGATTTTACTCCTGTGCAGTATATGCAGCAAATACAATATAAAGCTGTTTTCTGATTATTATGTTTTGATGGATGTTGCTCTGGGTTGGTTTGTGAATCTCAGTGCAATTATTAAAAGCATTCATAATTCTGCTTTCTTGTAAAATGGCCTAATGTATCCACACTGGGCTGCTGGTTGTTGTCGTTCCCATATGCTGTTGTGCTGCTTATGCTATTATGCTTCCTGGAGTTTGTGTAGGACCTGAAGGGTGCCTTGTGAAAATGTCTGCACATCTGGGAGTTGTGTAGTGGGAACTTCATGTGCTCTGTCTATTAACCCTTCATGGTCCGTGTCCTTGAGGAGATGAGGTGTCAGCTCTGCCACTGATGGCTAATGACAGTGTTTTGCAGAGTCATTTCACTATAGTATGTCTGAGGCTGTGATGTGGTGGAGATGGCTCCAGCAGAGAAGTTGGAGTGGTGGCTCTGGGACTTACTTTTCCACTAAGCCCTAGGTGATTCTTGCAGCAATAAAAATAATCTCACTGATCTGGTTATCCTGCCAGGCTTTATAATAACGCAAAGTTTAGAAGGTTTGTGGTTTGCTTTTAATTTCATCTGTGTTTCTTAGAAATGTAGACCTGGTCACCCTCTTCCATCCTCAAAACGTGCAAAGAGATGCCCAGTTGAGCTATACCAGGATTTTCCATGATTTAAAGCAGAACTTTATGATCTGTTTTAGGCTGATGGAAAACAAACCCAAAATGGCTTCAGAGAAGTCATACAAGAAAGAAAAGTGCAGCCTGGTGGCCTGTGAGTTAGACCTCAGGCTTCCTCCTCAGTTCAACGTGGATTTTGTAATGTGACCCAGGGCCAGTAGGTATCTTGCTTTCGTCTGCTTTCCAAATATGAGAAGGAGGTTCATGGGCACCCACAACCTTCCTGACATAACTTGCTTTTATACTTTGATATGTGATGATGATGTAGCATTTGAAAGCATCTCTGCTCTCATTTGCCCCTCTAGAGGAGTGAAGGAGCCTTGCTGCAAAAGGCAGCCGAATAAATGAACCTGTTCTCACATAATACAGCGCAGGCAGTGGAATGAAAAAAGTAGCGCAAAAGGATGTACTTCAGGATACAGGACCCATTTTCAAATAAAACCGCTCTTATTTGAAAAAAAAACCCCACTTTTGTTTCTCAGGAGAATAACAATAAAAAGCAATAAAAGGTGCTTAATGACTTATTCTTTTTTTAAAGCTTCTAAATCTGGAAGGAAACCAGGCCATCTTGAAAAAAGATCCCAGACTTTCGCAATACATGCATCTGTCCAAAGGGCCATTGCCATGAAAGTATTTACAGCTACACTGTTATCCTGCTCCATCCCACAGCCCCAGTGGAGAGCAAGGCCAGAGCACAGCAGTGGGAAGCTTGGCAGCTGCTGAACAATGCTTTTTCCAAGGAAAGATTCTGCTGTGCTATTTGTAGTTGTGTAAGCATGAATGCGAGCAGGTTATTAAAGGAAGCCCAGCTTCCAGACAGATAAGAACAAGCCCTGATGCTCTTTGCCATTTGGGGTAATCTTTCTTTTGAAATCCTGTGCATGGTGTAAGCAGTGGTGAAGCATTTCTAAATTTTTGGCATGCCATGCTTCAGTATCAGCTGAGTCCATTCTGCTGTGGTTCCCCAACAGCCTAAGATGGCATGACTGCTGTGGTCCACTCCACCCTCCTGCCTGGGCCATGTATGCCCAATTTTCTCTTGCAGAGGCTTGTTAAACTTTGCTAAACTGCCTCCATGCACTACTGAGCAGAACACTAGCCTTACTAAAGAAAGTAAAGAGTTCTTTGCTGGGTCAGTGAGTTGAATTGGCTCCGGGAGCACATCTGGGAGAGGGAGGGAAGAAAGACCTCCTTTCCTTGTGTAGCACTGGGCTTTTGGAGCTGCTCATTTTTTGAGCTATTTAACGAGTGATTGAGGGGTTATCAGTTTGTACAAAGGAAGGATTTACTTGGTGTCCTGTTCAAACACTGTGAAATGCATTCATTAGCACTTGGACAAACTTGTCTGCCTTAAAAGAACTAGTTGCAACCGTTTACTCTTCAAACAGTACTTCTGTGTCAAACAGCTTCTGCATCTCCAAGTTGAGGTCTTTGATTCACCTATTTAAGATCATGCCACACTGAAGTGTCTAAGGTGTTTTGTATTTGCTTCTTGTGTTTTGACCATTGAATGGTAGCACTTTTCTCTTTCAGACACATTCCCGTGGTGCTCTTTTGAGATAATCCCTACTATCACATCTCTTGGATAAGATGGTCTCTTCCCTGTCAGTGCCCCACATGCCCATTGTTCCGAATATGGGCTGACAGATTGCAACCACAGAAAATGTGTCTTGTCATCAGTTGTGGTGAAATTCATTTCTCTCATATGAGACATCCTCTTATCCTGACCACTTGAGGTCAGAAGGCATTTCCAAAAAGAGTTTTGTTTAGCCTGAATGCTGCTGGCTGTGTTGTAGTTGGACCTCAGTCCCTCCTGCACTTCAGACTCATATTATTATTCTAGTGGTGGTGCACGATATCACTAATTACAGAGTGGCTGTGATTTCTATCATTGAGGTGGCTGCAATGATCCTTCTGCCAGAGGCTCTCAAACAGTAGGAGTCTGGGACTGTGCTAAACAGTAGTGTCACTAAGTAGTGCATACTTTTATCCTTTCTAGGACCTGCACTTTTGCTGAGACAGGTGGTAGCACTGTTATTCAGAAAGCATTTACTCCTCCACGTGATTGGGGAGGGAAGGTGGGACAGTCACGAAGGGGAGGGAGGTCTGCTTAGCAACAAGTTGGTGAGAACGGAGGCAGCAGGACAGACACTACTGGGATGTGTTTTATGTGGCTGAGGAGCTCAGCATGCTGTCCCTCAATCTAAGGGCTGCAGTGTTTGCTGGGGATGGAGTAGACCAGAGGCAGTGGGCCATAGAAGAATGGTCCTTTTTTTCTCAAGCACATGTCTAGAGACTAGAAGATATGGACTGCTGTTTTCTGTTCTCCTTCATATTATGTTAAGATGTGTCATCCAACACCACTGGAGTCCTTAGCAATCTGAGCACTTTAGCATGCCTTAAAATCAGTTTCAAGGTATTTTAAACCAAACACAAAATGTAGGAGCCTCTCCAGAAAATCAGACGTGATGGAGCCATGAAGTGACTGTCTCTCTCAAACTCCCTCTGTCATAGGAACACCCTGCACTTCTTTGGATATTTAGGTACTAACGCTTGTGCTCCACAAGGACAGTGGGTGGAAAGATGATAACCTAACCAGCATTTGAATCTGTGTCATGGTGCCTAGCAGCACTGCTTTGGTTCTGAACTGTTGTTTGGCTTCTGGGAAGATTACTGACTGCTTTTTTTTTTTCTTTCTTTCTTTCTTTCTTTCTTTCCTGTGTTTTAGACATTTACAGCATGGTGTAATTCTCACCTCCGCAAGGCTGGGACACAGATTGAGAACATAGAGGAAGATTTCAGGGATGGTCTTAAACTCATGTTACTTCTGGAAGTCATTTCAGGTGAGAGAGGTTCTGTGTGGTGCTCTCAAGTGTCCTAAGCATCTCCGTTCTGAAATCTGTCCTCCCCCTTTCTCACGGAAGAGGGACAGCAAGGGCTGTAATGCTGCAGATTTTGCTGGAATATAAGAACAGCTGCTTTCTGATTCAGAACAAATTTCTCCCTAACCAAATATCTTGTCTCCAGTAGTGACCATTAATGTGCTTTTGGAATGTACTCCAAGCCTCATGGCCTGTGCAGGCTGCCCATTGCATTCCTGCTCCTGCCTCTCGGCTTTCCTTTGCCCGGCAGGAATGCACAGCCTCCTGTGAAGGCTCAGGCAATGGCTCTTACTGCTTGGCAGGGCTGACGAAGCAGCTCTGGGAAGAGTGTGGGAATGCTGCACTGGCAAATCATACCAAAGCCACATGACAGTGGGAATAGGAAAAAAGTTATTGGAAGAGGGGAGTCAAACCAGTAAATCTTCTGTGTTGTTCAGTTTCAGCTGTGACTGAAGTTTTTCCATTCTAGTTTCAATCTGAGCTCAGTTCTCAAGCCTTCAGGGAAAAAAAAAATCCCAAAGAAAAGCAAAATCCCAGAAAACCCAGTCTGAAATAAAACCAGTGGCATGAACAAGTTAGGTCAGATTTGTTTTCACTCCTTATCACAAAAGTCCCACTACTTGACAGATATCTCCCAGGGATTATTTCATATAAGCAGTAATCCCTACTGATGTGCTGATGAAATAAATACCTCAATAAAGTATTGTGGGAGGCACTGAGGGGGGGATAAGACTGTATGTATGAAACTGGGGTTGTATGCTCACAGACTTTCTTTTGATGGCTTTTGAGCCAGTAATACCAACACAGTGACTTGTATTCCTGACCTTCTTGGTACGTTTTCCAATAAAATTGCCATGAAAGAAGCACTCAAACTGCCTTCCCCTTCCCCGATGCTGTCAGTATATGTGTTTTTCAGAATTTATGAATATAGGATAAAACCTCAGGGTTTTTGCTCATGCTGGTGGCTTGGAGGGATCAGAGTTCAAAATATTATTGGAGCTTTGCAGCATGCACATTGCTTCTGCAGTGCCTGTAAGAAATGAGGTAGCAGAGTCCTATTAGTTTATTTTCTGTATTTATGTTCCCTTGCAGAAGAGGGGCTGCAGCCTGGAAGCTGGGGCAGATGGGCCTTGATGGCTTAGTTTCTCATTGTCTAACTGGAAGATAGGGGAGAGAAGCATGAATAGGGGAGGGCGGATGAGGCTTGGTGCTAAAGCAGGGGGTCTTATATCTCACACTGCTTGATTTCCTTGCCTCATCTCCCACTCTTCCTCTCCTATTGTCCCCTTGGGAGCCCACTGGCAGGGCCTGTCGGACCCCACTCAGTTTGGGAAGAAGCTAAAGGCTTCTGAGTGCACTGGTGGTGTGGGCACGGCATTTACCCATCTGCTGCAGAGCAGCTCTGTGCCCACAGTCTGCCGCTAGATGACCAGCGGGCAAAGGCGTGGGGAGCAGCTGTGGGCTGCATCCCACCAGAGGCCACGGTCCTTCACACACTAGGGACTGAGCATCCTTTCCTTAGAGCCAGCAGAAGCTAGAACCGCAGTTCTAGGTACAGGGGCAAAAGAGGAGAAATTTAGCACAGTTCTTTTTCCCCCCCATTTCGTTTCCATCCTTGGTGGTTCAGTTTCCAGTTGTGAGCCCCGCTGCTCTTGTGGAGCTTTCTTCCAGCTGCTGGCCTTGCTAGTAGCCCCTTTGGCCAGTAGCTGGGGAAGCAGCAGCCCAGCCCAGGAGCAGCGTTGGGGGTAAGGAGTCTCCTGCTGGCTGGCAAGGGCTCGCCTGTATGTTCCTGCCACGGTTCCCACTGATCACCTGCCAAAAGGGTGAGTCTCCGGATGGCTCTAGGCCTCCAGTTCCACTTCTGGCCTTTCCTTTCAGCTCTTGGCTCACTCCACACCTTCCTCGTCCTGTATTTTGGGGGGCTGCAGAGCTGCTGACGGGGAATTTGGTGCGGGCAGGGGTGCTCTGTGGCAGGCTGGTCTCTTCCTCTAACCCAGAGGGTGATGACCATAAGAGCCTTCAGCCATGAGAGCGCTGGGCCGGGCTGGCCAAGAGCCCCACGGAGCCGAGTGCCTCCTCTGCCGGGCTGCGGCGTGTGGGAGCGAGGGGGTGCTGTCTCCTTCTGCCCCCGCCGCAGGGGTGGCTGCCGTGGGGGGGAAGGATGGAGCCTGCCTCAGGGAAGCTGCTGGAGACCCTAGGGCTGGAGAGGGACTGTGCCACTGGGGCTGTGGGAGACCCGTTTCCCCCAGCCACTGTGCAGGGGACAGTCCTGGGACTTCCTCGTTGCGAGTCCTCTCCCGCTGGCCTCTGTGGTGAGAAGTAACGGTTGCCCCCCCCGCCCCAAAATTGCCCCAAAAGATACACTTTCATTTTTCACCGCATGCATTTCCTTCCCCTGACAAAGCCATGTTAAAAATACTACTACAAGACTGAAAAAGGCTAGGCTTACATTTAGTACTTTGAAAATGAAGTTATAAGGCTTTTATCCCCCCCCCCGCCCAACAGAAGGAATGACTAATTGAAATTTTTCCTAAACAAATTTGCTGTAAACAACTTCTGTGCCAACACTTCCTTGCATTGTTTGGCTTTTAAAGTACAGCCTTGGGCTAGTACATGAGAATCAGAGAATGGAAGTGAGTAGACCATTTTCATTGTCCCAGCTGGGAGAAGTACTGAGAAATAAAGCAATGATGCAAATAGCTGAAAGTAGAACATATTTCTAGCAGGCTTTCCTTTTAACAGTCCACGCCATTAATAATGTATAGCACGGAACCAGATGAAGCTTTTCTCTGGAAATCTAAATTTGTAATAAAGTCCAAGTCTGAAGGAAATAGCCATCAGGTTTTGGGACTTAAGTTCTCGGAAAAATGATTCTGAAACAAATATCCTATTGTGGTATTTGAGAGAGGGAGACTGCAGTTTTGCAATCACCATCAATTGCTTGAGGATCACATTGCTGTTAGAGGGAACAATCCTGCTCTCCCCAGCCCCAGGGAGAGCAGTTCAGATGCTCTCCCTTGTGTTAGCAATACACATGCAGCCACAAGGTGAATTGGATCAGCTTGCTGTTCCAGCTGAAACCTAATCGCTTGTCTTTATTTTTCTTTTTGCGAGGCTAGTTTACAGTCACATGAACTGAAGAAAATGGTTATTTTTTAGCTGGCTCAACCCATTTGTTGACATTTGGCAACATAAGTCTGCTTAGGTCTATTGTGAAACTATATGTAAAAATGTAATTGTGAAACTGTTACAAAAAATGCTTCCACTTTTATTTAGAATGACTAGCATTATCCAAATAGAAAAGGAAAGCTACATACCATGATGTGTACCTGAGGCTCCATTAAAGCAAAAGAGATTTTTTTTTAATCCTAGGATGGAGGTAGTACCATAAATACATCTTTTTACTTAAATTGTCAGACATCAGTGTTTCATTTTGAAAGTGAATCTGGTTTTATCCTTAAGCTTGAGAGCTAATGACACTAGCCTACAGTAATCACTGAAACACTTTTAAAGGATTTTCATTTTCAGACTTTTTTTCTTTGTGGGGCATGGCTATGGAGATAATCTATATTTCTCCCTTTTAGCTTTTCCTCCCTCCTTTGTTAGGAAACAAGCCATCCAGTTTTAGTATGGAAAAGAGTTCTTTAAAAAGTACTTTTCTTTCTCACCCTTAAGCCTCAAATAAAGGTTTTGAGTCAGCTCGCATGAACTTGAATATTCAGGTTCAAGATATAGCAGGAGACTTTTGGAACTGAATAGGTCAGGTGAGTAATTACTTGCCTAGACTTGCCCATTTGATCTCTTTTTAATTGTCTCATACCTTTTTTCTCGAAGTGCAAAACCTGCTTGCATTTTGTTTAGATCTTTTTTGTATTCTGGAACTTGTGATCTGAAAGTGCTGTTCTGTTTGCTTTTTGGTGTTGTGTGGTTCACAGGTGTTGTGGTTTAACCCCAGCCAGCAGCTAAGCACCACGCAGCTGCTCACTTGCTTCCCCCCCCACCCAAGTGGGATGGGGAGAGGAGGGGGGGAAGTAAAACTCGTGGGCTGAGATAAGAACAGTTTAATAGAACAGAAAGGAAGAAAACAATTTTAATAAAATGACAATAATAGTAATAAAAGGATTGGAATATACAAAACAAATGATGCACAATGCAATTGCTCACTACTCGCCGACCGATGCCCAGTTAGTTCCCGAGCAGTGATCCGCCCATCCAACTCCCCCCAGTTTATATACTGGGCATGACATCACATGGTATGGAATACCCCTTTGGCCAGTTTGGTTCAGCTGCCCTGGCTGTGTCCCCTCCCAACTTGTTGTGCTCCTCCAACCTTCTTGCTGGCTGGGCATGAGAAGCTGAAAAATCCTTGACTTGGTATAAACGCTACTTGGCAACAACTGAAAACATCAGTGTGTTATCAACATTATTCTCATACTAAATTCAAAACACAACATTATACCAGCTAATAGAAGATTAACTCTATCCCAGCCAAACCAGGACAACAGGTCGTTCCTGATGTCCTGTCTAATTCTATTTCTAGCAGAGGTTCCTTTGAAAGTCCACTTTCCTGCCCAAGCTTTAATTTCTTTACTCTGTGTGTTGGGTTAGTGTTAGTAAAAGTAGGCTATGAGCATAGTTGCAGGCAACCTTTCAAGAAAGGCATGACTGCATTTAATGCAACCCTTTCAAATAAATAAGGTCAAGAAAATGCTTTTCCAAATCTTCCAGCTTTGTTCCAATCAGGAGCTGGTGTTTGCCCTAAGACTCATTTCTGTCAGAGATTTACCTGCTCTTACCTCAGAGCTAGGCTGCTTACTTCTCTCTGCCTCGTTATAAACATTTAAAATGCATATCACTGTGCACACCATTGCATGGAGTTAGAAATACATCAAACATGTAATGGAAAGGAGTTGAGATGACAGTCCTTACAGTTATAAAGCCACTTGCCAAATAAAGTGGTTTTATTTCTTGATGCAGGCAGTTGTGGCCATTCAGTGAAGAGACTAGAGAGGTAGGAGGTCTGTATCCTGGCTAGGGAAAAGGCAGGATACAGGATCAGCCTCATATTTGACTGTAGGGAGTTCCAAGAAGGAGACTTTTGCTTTGTAAATTGGGTGTTGTAAATGCTGGAGGGGAGCTCCTCACCTGTCTTTGTGAAGGAGGGAAGTTTGTGCCATTTCCAGTCATCGTTATCTGAGGTTAATGGTGCAGAGGTTAGTTCCACTGCCTGGGTCAGTGTGGTTTTGAAGGACTTTTTCACCTCTGATACAAACCTGCTGTGGACAGGACTCAGTGCTGATAGTTCCTCTGTTATTAAATTATCTGCAACAAAAAGATACTTTTCTGTCTGATTCTTTCTCCGGGTACTTAATGGTGAGTGTGGCTGTCCTGCCTTCACTGTCGAGAAGGGATGCAGGGAGGTCTACCCTCTGCCTGGCTGAGCAGCAGGAGCCACCACTGTGGGGAAACACCCACCAGGGAAGAAAGGGTTCAGAATTGTTATCTAATACTCTTTTTTTCCCTTTTCTTATTAGGTGAACGTTTAGCTAAGCCTGAAAGAGGCAAAATGCGAGTGCACAAGATCTCCAATGTGAACAAGGCCTTGGATTTCATTGCCAGCAAAGGAGTCAAACTAGTATCTATTGGAGCAGAAGGTAAAGAAACCAGCTGATTTGTCTGGGCCCAAGCTGTGCTTAGCCTTTGCCTTTCTCTCACAGCTGCATGTCATTTCTCTTTGCACCTTCCTAGCCCTACAATGCCCTTGTAGAATAAGCTGTGGAGGAAAAAGGGGATATATTAGGCCTTTACTCTGGAATTAAATCCTTCTTTCACACCAAGCTGCCAAACCTGATTCCCACTTGGGCTTATTGGTCAGGTCCACCTATTTTTCTCCTGGTTCTCATGAGTTAAGGAAAACATTGAGCAGCAGTAGAAACAAATTAATTGAGATGTTTCTTTCTTGAATGAAGAAAAGTCTCAACTGAAGCATAGCAGCTGCTTGTATTTAGCTTGTTGCAGAGCTGCTGCAAAAAATCCCCTGTTGCTGTAGGACACGCCATGGGTCAAAGCCAAGTGCAGGCCCCAGCACAGGTCAAGGATGCCAAAGGCTCCAATTTTCAGAGCTTCTGGGCTTCTTGTTGTGCATCCCAGAAAGCTGGGTGCTCTGGCTGGAAGCCTGTGTATCATTGTGTAGAGACCATTGTAGACAGCACCAGGGATGCCCTCAAGATGAACTGGCAGACCATGCAGACAGCAGGGAGTTGTGTAGGATTTTTGTCTTTTTAGCAAAGATGGTGGGTGTTTTGCAGATATGTCACCCGACACCCAGAAGGGCTTGCAAGTTAGTAAGATAATTTGCTCTTTTATAAACCTTAACGACTTGTTATCTTAGCCAGACTGTGTTGCCATGACAGTTGTGTTCCTCTGCTCTGGACCTGTGTGTGTCCTGCCTAGGGACTCATGTTGTCACTGCTGTGGAGACACTCTGCTTCTGTGGTATTTCTAGGTTTGTCTTTACAGTGACCACGGAAAATGAGGGAGGTTGTTATCTCCATCTTACAAATGGAAATATGTGGTTTCTTCAAGGAAACTCATGACAGAGCCAGGAAATGAGCCCATGATACAGTCCTGGATGAGCATTCCTCCTACGGGAGAGTCATGGGGCTGCTGGACTGAGCCCTGCCTGTCCTTAGCCCAGGAGGTCAGAGCAGTGTTGGCATGCTGTCCCCAGTTTTCGCCTTTCAGGCATGCTCTTGGGGACATCTCCAAGACATGTGCCCATCCTGTGGTCCACTTGTTCTGTGTCACATCAGGCAGAATACCTCAGCCACTGCAGGTGCTTATGTTTGCCCTACCGAGATCTTTACCTCAATTTGCTGCTTTAACTTTATGGAGACTTTGGAACAATTTGAAACTAGTGTCCAGGGACTTTGCAGACACTTATTCACTGGGTTCGGTATTTTAGAGCAAAATGCAAGGGGCGAATGGCTCAATGATATTGATATTTTGCCTGCAAAACTTTTCAATTTTCTCAGCTTTTCCCACATGAGCAACCTGAGGCAGTTGCTGGCCCTGAGTACTGTTTATGTAGCACAAATGCATATCTAAGGTCATTTTGTGCCCTTACTAAAAAGACTGGTACATGCAGTGTCTGATACAGTAGTCCATATCTATATGGGACCCTATCTTCCTTGCTCTATTCCCTTTTTTTTTCCCTGGTTCTGCTCTCCCTGGCACTAGTTTGCCTTCTCCTCTCCTTCCACTGGATTTTTCTTTTTTGATTTCTGCTCCTGAATCAGCTGTGACTGTACCCTCACAGCACGTAGAAGTCATTTGCAAGTAAAATGGTCTGTGACCAAAGATCTCCAGGGCCCAGTTATTCAGTATAGATTCATAGCAGTTACCCTGTTCAGAAACAGGCTGTGAGGTGGCCATTTTGTGACGGAAGCCATGATTTATATCAGTCTGAATGGTGATCCTGACCTTCCCTGCCAAATGTTCCTGCCTCTCCTTTGTCCTGGGGCCCATGCAGCTACATGGTGAACCCATATGAGTTTCTTTATACTACCAAAGGTAGCATGGCACTGAAGTTTGGACCAAGGTTAGCTTTGATTTTTATACAGGGTGCTTGGGCCCATGCTGTGATGCCAGCTCAGGCCATGTAAGTGTGATCACAGCTTGGGCTCCCCTAGCCCCACACCTGCCCATGCACCCAGACCGAGCCCAAGCCACTCTGGTTGTCACCCTGAAACATAACCTGCTGCAGGGGCTTCTGCCTGGTCCATCCAGGTGCTTGGTGTACAGTAAATTATACATCAGCTATGAAAATGGACATTTACTTCGAACAGCACAGCAGTAACTTTGTCCATGGAAGGGATTATAAACCTTTCTAGAGCATGAATTTTAAGGGCTTGCTTTCAGACTTTAAGAAGACATCATGCAGCAGCAAAGTAGAAGATAAAAGCTGATGAGGCAGTCATAACACCGCACCAAGAAAATGAGTTGTAAATGCCTCAGTCAGGTTGGACTGATCTAGGAAGTTTTGCAGGTGGCTTTTCTCCCAGAGGAGAAAACCACCATCCAGCAGCAGCGTGGTGGTACTGGCTAGGGCAGCACTCCTCACCTTGAGGTGGCTTGCTCCATCTCTGGGTATCTGCTGGGCAGCAGGGTTCCGTGTGAAGCGTCTGCAGCCCAGCTGTGGCTCTTTGTATACGTTAGACAAATGGCATTGGACATCAATGTCCTGACTTTATTTTATTATTTTTTGTGGTTAAAAGATAAACTTCAGAAAGAATCCCAAGGAGATTCTCAGGTCAGCTTAAGCCTTGTGAAACCTTGTGTTTAATCAGAGTTAGAGCCAGCAAAAATGTTTTCATGGCATTTATCTCGCATTTCATCAAATAAAGATCCCTCTCTGCTGTTTACAAGCCAAGCTCTGCAGTGGTGTCCCAGTGAACAAGAACCAGAGTTGAAGACGACTTCCTACACGCAGCATGAGTGCAGGATATATTCCATGTTAGCCAGCGTCCACAAGATCAAAGCAGCTGTGGCATAGAGCAGATCTGTGTAAATCTGGATCAAGGAAGGCTCTAGCCTGGTGCAGCTTCTGAATAGTTTTTCATCTGCTTTTAAATCTCACTGTCATCTGACACCTCAGAAGCCTTCTTTTGCTGTAATAGATTCCATACTGGTGTCAAATGCTCCTGGGATGTAACAGATTGAATAGGTCAAGTATGTGACCCTAAGACTGTTTTATTTGCACCTCTAATCTGCATAGAAAGTTGCTGCTTAGACAGATGTGGCTCAGTTCAGCATAAAGATAACTTTGGATGAGCTGTTCCCTATTCTCATCTGTGCAAGTGAAAGGAGAAATAAAGCTTAGAGATTTCAACAATTGCAGAAGTCCCATCTGAGCAAAACATCTGCTGAAGCATCAGGCAGAGCAAGCATACATTTGACAGTGGAAAGAGGGTGAAAATAAGGTCTCTGCACGTCAGTGAGTGAAACATAGCATTATATTTGTCCCTATCTCCTGCCCACGCACAATTAGGGAGTTGAGATGTACACCCCCATCAACAATGCCAGCCATCTGTCCTAAATATGGCTGGACCATCATTAGCAACATGCTTTCTGAAGACAGGGGCATAGATGCTTGTCTTGCTTTATTTGGCTTTTGTTAGGATAGACAAAATGCAGAGCAGCCTTTATTTTATGTCACCACTGTTGCTCTATGTCTCCAATTCGCAGATCATAACGCTATCCTGCCAGTTGTTCATCCCCTGCAAGTCCTTCTCTCCATGGGGTGACCAGAGGCTGTGCTCTCATGGGCAACTCAGAAGTAGCTAGCGGGGATAACAGTTTCTGTAGCATTGATTCTGCTTCTAACTACCCAGGCCAGGGTAGAAAAGTAAGCTTAATAATTTTTGCATTTTTCAAAATGAGTTCATGCATTTAAAAAAGGTGATGGCATTTTAAAAGCCACATCTATGTAGCCAGCCCGTCTTGCTCCTAAGGACTGAATATTTGTCAGGCCCTTAACTGGCTGTCAGACAAATGGATGACAGTACTGTAGTTTTTGCGTATTTTGTTCATGGTATTTGTTACAATAATGGGAGCTGGGTGGAAGCATATTTACCGATGCAAAAAATTTCTTTCCAGTGGATGCAGATGCCTCACCAGCTTTAGCCAGCAACTGATCCACCCCCAAGTTGAATGTAAATCACATTAATAACATGCACTTGCTGCTGCTGTTCATATAACAGCTGCTGGTAGTGGAAGAAGTGCAAACAGTTGCAGAGGTCCTGCCTGGGAAGAGCACTTGGAAAGCACAGTCAGGCAGAAGATACTGTCTGATTATTAGCCTTTTAATATGTGAACTGCTTTCATATTACTAAGCCTTAATTATATCAGTGGGGAGCAAACCTACAGTATCTTTAATTAAAGATCAGATTGTTCTAGCTTTGTAGTGTTAACGTTCAACTTTTTAACAGTACCTGTGGAGTTTCTTTCTCTTCATCACCAGGAAGCAGAAGGCTTCATGCAAACCTGTTTTGCAACCATGTTTTTTACTTTTGTTTCTTGGCTATGTTCCACTATATTAGAAAGAGAATGGCAGCAGCTGAAGGGATCCTAAAGGAAAAGGAGGTTGGCATTGGGGAATGCAGGGGTGGAAAACCAAGTGAGTGAGGGCCAAAGAGCATATGGCCTTTCTGATCAGGCTGGCTGACTTTGTAACCAGGTTGCCAGGAGAATTTTTTTAGCTCTAGAAATGAAAAATGCTTGCCCACTTCTAACAAATAATAATGCTTTTGTCAACTCTGTTTAAAGGAGAAAAAAAAAAGTACTGGGTATGGTATTATTGGTTAAATCTGCATCCTGGGATGGGTCACTCACTAATCTCACTGACATCAGTATCTGCTTGGTAGGTGGTGGTTTTCTCTGTCTCAAGAAAAAGTAAAATGATATGTAGAGATGAAGTGGTGGAAATATTCTGGGCTTCTTCTAGAGCAGCTTTGCTTTGGTGCACTGCTAAGGAAGAATCAGACATGGGAGCAGGGAGCACACATCTTCCCTTTTAAATGAGTAATGCTATGAACAGGGCTGGGGAGAAGAGATGCTTTCCACCTTAACTCCACCAGCTAACTTTATAAAACTGGAATTTGAGAACATGACCAGAGCATAGTGCTGAGTTCTAATGCCATTAGCAACTTAACGCCATCTGGTTTTATGTAAGTATCTTGACCTTTATTTCCAATTAAAATCCATGGAACAGTAATATTAATTACCTGTTTAAGCTCACTGATTGATTTATTAGTGTTCATAAAGCATTTTCAACATTGAAGTATTGCCATCAGATTTTAATCTAGTCCATTAAAATAAAGAGCTCAATTTAGTTTCAGATCTTAAATATATCCTAGGGTCCTCCTGCCAACTGCTGTGGTTTTTACAAGCATTGGGGTTTTTTGCTTTTTGAAAATCCCCACAAAGATCTATCCCATGAATAAAACAAACAAGCTGAAAACATAGATGCTTTCTTTTATATTTTAGCTGTAGTATCTCAGGTATTTGTAACAATAGTAAGCATTTTCCTTTAGGTTGATTGTGGTGCTTTATTGGAGGGGTAAAGAATGCAAAAAGTGCAGAACTGAATATACTTGCCATCACATGACATTTTTATACATCAGCCTAGTGGACAACCCCTGACCCCAAAATACCTATAAAAAATTCATTTGTGAGAAAACTGTCAACAGACAAACATAGTTTTTTTCGTGCCAGCAACAGTAACTGTAGTTCTTTTGTACTACAGTGAAAAGTTGTTGGCTATTTAATTCTGGGCAAACTGATGCCCCACCAAGATATTTGTGTGTATTCTTAAGTGCAGAAAGGAGTGGACACAGGGGTTTACTACAGTAGAACAAGGTGACGAGTCTTGTTTTCTATCTTTTAAACCTGTAAATCCCTAAGGCAGATGTATGTCAAAGCACAGTGGAGATTATCCTTCTGATTTACACTGGAAGTTGCACTACATGTATTGCTAAATCACAGTTTCTGAAACAATGTGTTTCGGGTGTGTGCTACTTGTCTGTTGTTTTTTACTATACTGAGGTTTGCATTTTGAAAATTTTTCATAAGAGGAAAAACTTTTCTTAATGGCTTAAAAGGAAAATTTCAAATATTTTTACTTTTGTGACAGGATCCAGATAGGTGGCAGTTGCCTATACTGCAAATTTCCACTTGCCCCAGAGCATGATGTGTTCCTCCTGGGCAGCTTTGTGGAAGCAGTGGCACAGAGGTGTCTACAGCAGTACAAAAATAGTTTCTGGCAGCCTTGTTAGGACTTGAATTATTCTACATGCAAACAGTAGGTTAATTCTAACCCTTTTCTTCCTGGAAATACTCTCGTAACTTGTCAGTTGTTTGTGAAAGATCTTTCTGCCATGCAGGAACCTGCCAGAGAATGAGTAGGAGAAGGCAGCTCAGCTAGTTTCACTATCCAAAAAAGTGAAGGCTGTAAATTTTATAAAGTATATATATAGTCTGTGCAGAATTTTTGTAGATGCTGAGGATCAGCACTTGAGACCCAGCTGCTCGCCATTTGGACTGTTTGGCACTAATCTATACGTGGTGGAAACCTCTTTCTGGGCCAGCATCCCCCCCCAGCACCTCCCCCCAGAATCTTGATCCCCCATCCTAAACAGATTATACCTCACACAAACAAGCAGTCGCTTTCTAAAAACTTCAAGTTGTTGACCCTTGCTGATATATATTGTGGAGTCCAACGAGCAATAAAGCACAATCTGCTTAACATCTTAGTTTATGTTATGGGCTGGTCAGCATGAGTCTTTGCTTCCTCTTCAAGCGGGATGCATTTACTTTGAGGAATGCTCTGTTGTGTCTTTTGGCAATTATATGACTGAAAGAAGTCCTATACAGGCAGTCTGGCGTATTTAGGCTTGTTTTAAATTAAAATGTTGATGTTTCTTGGTTTTCTTGGTGACATGACAAAACCAGCTGTCAGAGCTTATCTGCATGGGAAGTATCACTGTTTTTTCTGATATAATTACGCTGGGGCAGTTCTGTAAGTGACTTGGAGTAGACATATCAGAGTAAGAGAGGAAGGCTTTTCTTTTTCCCAGTTTGGCTTATATGACTTCTAAGTGATTGGAATTAAACCTAAGAAGGTGTTTCTAGACCCCTGTGGGGAATTACACTGATCTAAATTGGTACTTATTCCTGGTCTTTTGGATCATCGGTGTCTGTTTTATGCTCAGTATTATACTGGAAAAGAACCAGTCTGATTACAGGGTACTACTGGGCAAGACTGTGCTGTATCAGCAGAGCATCTGGGGAGGCAGGGAAGAACAGTTTTCAGCTGGAATTTCAGTTCTCCCATCTGCAAAAGAGAGTGCTCCCCAATGCTCCTGTTTTACTAGGATTTCCACTTGCAACTTGATGCCTTCTATGTCTTCTCTTTCTACCTTTTTTCCATAGAAATCGTGGATGGCAATGTTAAAATGACTCTTGGAATGATCTGGACCATCATCCTTCGTTTTGCCATTCAAGATATCTCAGTTGAAGGTAAATCTTAGTTCTTTCCAGCCACTGCTCAACAATGAACAACCGGGGTAACTAAATGGCTTTGCCACTTAAAAAGCCCAGAATGTGCTCTTAGGTGAGTCACTGGAAGATCCTAGGGAGCTACCCTTCCCAAGCTGCCCTGTCATCTCACTGACATTTCTGGCCAGGTTCAGGTATACTGAGAAGAGTTTTTCACATCCTCTTCTTCTAAGAGATGTTAAGAGGAGCTCAAAACGATGGCTAAGCCTGAAAGCCAACTTTGATGTTGGAATCTATTGCATTTCTTGCAGGCTGATTCAGTGACTAGCACTGAAAATGGACTTATCTTTTACAAGTCCTACAAAATTCTCTTCTCTAATCCCAAAAAGCTCTCTCCTTATTACAGAACCTCATTAAGAAAATATTAGTAACAAAACTATCCTAGTAGACTCTTCCAAACAAGGAATTTTCTGGCAAGTGAAATTAAATAAAGCACAATTCAGGGCAGTCTGTACCAAAGAGGAGTTGGTGATGTTTTGCTAGCATATGCTTCAGAAACTCCTGCTTTCTAAGAAAATAAGTTAATTGGGGTGTTTTCTTTCTTTCTCTAGAGACATCTGCTAAAGAAGGACTTTTGTTATGGTGTCAGAGGAAGACAGCCCCCTACAAAAATGTAAACATCCAGAACTTCCATATCAGGTGAGTTACAGGCAAGAACTTAGTTTTACAATCTGTGTTACTTTCATATGTCTCTTGGCATATTCAGAAGTGTTCCTGACAGACCTACCAAGGCAATGCAAGTGCATGTTAGACAGTAACAGTGTAGTCTAGAGAGACACCTATGAAATTAAAGGCAGAGGTTATATAGGACCCAAGTACCTACATCCCAAATCCTCATTCTGGTTACAACTGCTGCTTTCGTAAAGTTCTTCAGAACATTAAGTCTTCTGAGAGCAGCACATGTGCCATGGGCTAAGCAAGACAGTTTTTGCTCTGTGAAAACTCAGAACACTGTAGGAGCCATTAGGCTGTACCAGAAGCTTTGTAGTATGGCAAAGTTGGGAAGGGGTGAGAGGTTTTCTTGCTCTGCTCTTAATGTTTCCAAATTGGCAGATGTTCCAGTGAAGATTCTGCATAATAGTGCTTTTTCCAGCACATCTTGAAGAGCTGTATGAACCATATAAATGTAAAGCACTTTTCTGAGAGCTTAATTGCCATCCACGCTAGTCAGTACTATAGTGGAGTTAGCTATGGGCATCTACCTTTTCCCTATGGAATGCACTTGTTTCTCCTTTAGGGCTTGTATCTACACCTTTTTTTAACCTTGAGCTCTAGACCTGTCCTTGCATGCTCCACAGGACATGCGCAGAGTTCAGCACAGAGAACTGGCAAAAAGGAGGTGCTGATGCAAAGGGCAAGTCCTAATCACAGTGGATTTTTGTAGAGATTGAAAGAAATCTTTATTGCAGTCTCATGCAGGTACAAGACATGTCTCCTTCCCAGCACTTACTGAAGCACTGTTAGCTAGAAACTAAACCAGAATTAGTTGTCCTGCTGTCTTGGTGCCTTCCCTCATGCTCATGCCCGTCACTGTGTCTCTCCCTGGCTGAGCACTGTTCATTGTGCTTTCTTCTGTCTCTCTTGTAGTTGGAAAGACGGCCTTGGTTTCTGCGCTTTAATTCATAGACACCGTCCAGAGCTCATCGACTACGGGAAGCTACGAAAGGTACAACTCAATTTGTTTGTCAGACCAGATGCTTGGCTCCTTGGAAGTAGAGAGAAGAATTAGCCTGATAAACATAATTGGAGAACTTCAGCACAAGCTGGCAGTTGCAGGACTGGGGGGAAGGAAGGAGGGATGAATCAGTACATTCAGGCTTCTTAGTGAAGCGTGAACTTAATGAGCTTCCTGCTTGACTTTCCCTGCTTTCAGACTGCCTTATGAGACACACACGTGCCCCAATCCCAGCTGATGAGCAAAAGCTGGCAAATTCAGTAACAACAAATGTGAGACTAGTTCTGTGCTAATGTCACAGACTAGCAAGTCAAATCAGACTTAACACTTCTGCAGAGAGTTGGATAGAAACCGGTTACCTGGTGTTCAAATGCAAAAGCTCATTGAGGGGTCTGTGTGCCCTCACTAGACACTTGTCACATGCTTGCAGCTTAGCACTGAACCATCTGCAGTACTGGGCTTCTCCTGGCATGTAGGTATCAGGTGCCAGGAAAGCAATTGCCATAACACTCAATTTTACTTTAAAAATTGCCACTGGTAACGTGATATCTAGCTGCTCCAAAGTTTGCTTCCTGTGTGTCTTGGAGACAAGATTGCTAAGTGGATGATGAGAATAGGCATTCAGTGGTTTGTGCTGCCAGCAGGTGTCTTCACCCAGCAGGACAAAGGATGACCAAACTGGGTTCTCATCCTACTGGCATTCCTGCAGTCTGCAGAGATCCAGTTTCACTATATCTGTGCACATGTGGAGTGAAATGTCACCAAGAGCATAATTCATGTGTCATTACTGGGGCTAATACACAAAAAGTTTGACCATCTGATCTCACAGGCTGGGTGTTATAAAGTGCATGTGTGCTCGATGTTAGCTAGGGAAATAAACATAGAAGACCATCACTAATAGACCTGGGCTCTTGGATCACTGTGCAAATAGACAATTAGCTGCATCCTTGAAGCAATGAATTGTATGATGCCTGATCTGCTTTTCAGTAACCTTTTAGATCTTTACTGTCTTGCAGAGCAGTCAATTAAATTATCTGATCACTTTTAGTGTCTGGAGTCAGCACACGATGAATAAACGGTGGGGAGAGACTGTACCTGTTTACATAAACAGCAGCAATAAAAAAAGGAATTATTAGAGCTACATTTTCAGTGCCTGATCTTGGGAAAATAAAAGCAGCTAAGCAATGTGCGTCTGACAAACCCAGCTGGGTAAATGCTACAGTGTTCTCTGTTATCAACAAAGCCCTAAGCCAAACCCAAGCGAAATGAGAGTGAGGGAGAGAAAGTTATTTGGTCATATTGCCTGCAGGCTTTTTAAGGTGAAAGAGAGGGTGGATTGTTCTAGCCAAAATCAATGTAGATGGGAAGGGATTTGTCCTCCTTGGAGTGAGGTTAAAGGGAGCCAGCATCTCTTGTTCTCCACTTGCCTTTGATCCCATCCTTCATCAGGTTCCCTCTGCCCTCCTGCAGTCTTCTGACTCTTTCTGTATCCTTTTTATTGTTGTTCTGCCTCAATTACTCTAAAGGCATGAGATTAAATGCATGTTTGAGAACTCTACCAGAGCTGAAGTCTTGAGCAAATAGCTGGGAAGAGCTTAGCTCAGAGCCTAGCCTTTAGTTCTGGCAGTTGATGTGTGCTGAAGGAAAGTTGCCTTTTTTATGCTAGATCTTTGAAACCCATTTGTAGAATGTATAAACATGGCACCTTCCTAAACACAGTATTTGCCTGGACTATTTCTGTCACTTCTTTCCTCCTTTATCGCTTCTTTCTCCTCCCTTTGGCTCAATTCAACTGATTCTTGCCCTTCTCCTTGGAGTCTACATCCCCTCTCCCATTTCCCTCAAAAACAGACCAGCCAACCAACCCCAGCATTTTAAATCATCCCTGGACCTGCAGGGGACTTACCTTGCAGAGAAACACATGAGAAAAGGCTACTGAGAAGCAGCCATCACAGTGGATAGTAGATTAGAGCTCCACTTCCAGGTCTCTTCCAACTCTAGGGAGTGATTAATGGCATCTCAGTTGTGTGTGCCTTTGGCAATGTTGTGTGTGTTTCCGTGTACACACACGCACACATATGTGTAAGATGGAGGGGTGAACATCAGTCCACGTTGCCAGGATGTCTGCATTGTACCTCCGGTTTGGGCAGCATTCTTGTGCACTTTTAGTGTTTTCTGCTCTTTCACAGAGGCTGTGTCTATGCTACAGACCCTGTATTGGCAGTGTATGCTAGCAAAAGGTAACCAGTGTAGCTGCATGTCTTCTTCCCAAAAGCTAGCAACTTCTGTTGTCAGCACCGTTTTGTACCGAGTTTATGTTCCTAGCTATTTTTCCTAGTCTAGCTATATCAGTGAAGCAAGCACAATTCTTTTCTGCCTACATGCACTGCCTAGCCGAAGTGGTTTGTATAGTCCAGGCCCCAAAATAAAATGTGCAAGTCCACCCAGCTTGGTGTCTGATTCCCTGACACCACAGCTAGTTATTTGGTTAGATGGTTTCTATTCAGTGCAGGTCTGTCTGCTATTGTTCAGCTCACTGTAGATAAGATCTCAAGATTCAGCTCATGGTCTGCATGTGAGGGATATGCAGAAGATGAGGTTTCCCTTCCTCTTTTTACCCCTGACTGTAGCTCAACTGTTAGCCACTTCTAAGATCTTTTTATCAAGTACAATGGTAGACTGATGGCTCCAGACACCCCCTCATATACTGCAATGCATATAGAAATGTGGTATGTCTACTGCCATGTTGGATGCATTTATTACAGATATCACTGAAAACATGAGTTTTGGATTTCTTTCCTAGTGTCTTCAACTCTGGCAGATATAGTAAGTGCTTGCTCTCTTGATTTTACTCCCCCTCTATCTCCTTTCCTGATTGCTAGTTAATAGAAGATTTTTTTATGTCACACTGCAATAATTGCCATGGCAACCTTGTGTGCTGCAAGGACTTAGAAATAGCTGGAGGAGGAGAGAAGACGACTCCCTGTGTGAGTTAAGGTTGTGGTGAAAGAGGAGGAGCTGTGGTAGTCTTTGATCAGCAAAAGCAGAGAACGTGCCAGGTGGGCATCTGTTTAGGGCAGGTTTGCTGTCTGCCACTGTTAAAACAAGGTAATTCCTCCATAGTAAAACTATAGCTTTCCTCACGGTTGGCCCAGCTAGAGCCTGGCAAGCCATTGCTCCTTTTCATATCTCTGCTATTTCTGTGTTCAGGTAAGCAGAGTGGGAACTGAGGCACCTCTGCAGAACCTTGTCTGGGTCAGTGCTCTTCTGGGGTATGTGTTTCAGCTGTGGAAGGAATCAGGGGACAGGTGACTTGGCTTTTGTTTGCTCTGCTGCCTTTGGGTCCCTAAAGCATGGCTGCAGCTGTGGTGCTGCTGCGCTGTACTGCAAGGCTTGGAGCTGCCAGGCCAGTCTTTACTAGTTTATCTGTTTTCATGGGAGTCAACTGAAACAGGTGATTTGAAATAATGATTAACTGGTGAACGATGGGATGAAACTGAAAGCAGTGGATTTTGGAGGAATTTCATAGGGCTCAAGACCCTGTTGTAGTCTTGGACAAGCCCCCAGGGAAACCCTATCTCTTGCACAAAGAAGCATCACCTTTGTGATGAGCAGCTCCATTGTCCATGAGGGGTGAAGATTTTCCCACAGGGAACAGGGTCTTACTCAGGTTTAGCTCTCTGCTTATCTTGGAGCTAGTCTTGGACTGAGGTATCTTGCTTTCAGTAGCCCTATCTTTAGCTTCCTTCCCCAGGAGACTATGTGATCACACATCTGTCTTACATACAAAGTAGAAATCTGCTGGCTTCATCTAGGTGAGTCTCCAGCTTCCCGCATGTTAAGACTTACAGCCCTTCCTTTGGGAGTGCCCAAGCCTAGTAAGTTTTCCCATCAGGAAACCTCTCCCAGCTTCCAGCTTAAAATTTCTTTTTAACCTTTGGCAACATTGCTACTGGTGTTGTTACTTGGAAACTGATAGGAAAGCTATCTGCAGTGACTTTGCTCCTCCCTTTCCTCCAGGAGAGGCTGACAGATCTTCAGGCAGCTCCTTCAGATCGGTCTGTGCTAAGGAAGGGTCTGTGTTAATACTAAACACTTAATCAGGGTGTTAGCAATGCCATAGTGGTCATGGTCAGCATAGGCTGAAATTTGGTACACAGTGGTGGCATTTCTACAGAAGCAGAAAATGGCACATGGGCTAGCAGAAAACTGGCAAGGGAGCTGCCACTTGGCACTTCTGGATGCTCCTGCACTTGAGTGAAAGAAAGGCTGTTACTTTTCCTTCCTAAATGGAGCTAAGGCCGTGTCTACACATAGTGGACAAGGTATGTTATATACCAGCTAGTCTTACCTCCTCAAATAAGACTTTTAGTTACACTTGGGTCCATAGAAGTTTCTCCACAGCAGGCACAGGAGACAAGTAGGCTGAAGTTGAAATGGTACCAGCCTCTAATTCCATGGCATAGGGTGGTTCCATGTGGCTGGAGGACAGTAAAAATCCCCTGCCTGCACTGCTGCTAAACTCTGAAGAAGTAGATACAGATATAGCTTACGTAGTCTCCATTGAAAGTGTATTATATGGGGATAAAGTACCATTTGACACTGAGATGAGGGCCTGTTACCGTGTTTGACAGCTGCTCGTTTCGTCACAGTGTGCCCATGCAACATTTCCTTGCTTAATATTGACTTGTCCCAGTGGACTAAATGAGGATCACTGGTCATGTCTGTTTGGATGGCCTCTGTGTGTGATTTACTTTGGTAGGTGAAACATTGCTGTCTACTGGAGACATTCACACAAAGGAATATGATATGGGATGCCAACCTAATACATGCATTAATTCCTAGGGAAATGCTGCAGAAAACTGCTTTTCAGAATAGCTCAGTTTCCTAGTTTCATGAAGACTGTAATCCAAGGGCTACATAATGACCAGTGCCATAAAAGAACTTTTCTGCATGCCCATACCCTGTCTGCCCAAGTCTGCCTAGCTTCATCTTTCGTGCTGGGTGTGTTCAAAGGAAACTGCCTGTTGATTAGAGTTCAGGCACAGCTTAATCTTCCAAGTCAATGCAATAAGCAAAGGCATGCATGATCTCAAATAGAAAAGAAACAGAACATGGATGTCACTGTAGAAAGAAGGTGAATTATACTCCTTGTTTGCTAATTTTGAAGGTGGGTCTCAGTGTGAGTGGCACAAATGACAATATGGAGAGTACCACCCCATCCTTTCTGTCTCCCAAAAGACACTTAGCAAACAAGGTGACTAAACACTAGCAGTTTATGCACAATCTTTCCTCCAGCAGAAGCCACCTGTCTCAACAGTAGAAACTGATAGTACAAATGTCATTTGTCACCCATGAACTGGATCAATCCTTCAGAATAACTAAGTATCATGGATACACAGGAATATAGGAATCAGACTTGTATGAGGGTGTCATACACATTTGTTGGTGTCTTGTTGTTGATCATTATGTTTGAATGATGGAAACAATTTGCAGAGGTCTTTCATTTCCAGTGACATCTGTGTTTCATATTCTCTTGTGTGGCTCTTTAAAATCTAGTTACCTTTGTGATATGACTCATGATGATAAATCACATTTAACTTTGTTTAGGATTTGATTACTGTCTATTGATGTCTGTATCTGAAGTGCATCCTGCCACATCAGAAGTTTTATATATAGAGGAATAGAAATGTACTAAGGAAATGACAAGTCCTGTGCAGCACCTAGGAGGAAAAGCAATACTCAGACAAAATGGGTACTTTTATATATATTTATTTTGTAGAGATTTGTTAAAACATTTCTCTTCCTCCCACTCAACTGGTGTTCAACAAACTGTACACTAGCTAAGGACAGCACCCGTTGCAGATGTTGTTACTATTTTAGTATTGCTTAGATGTTCTAACAGATACACTGCTCTGCAGTTCTTTAAAATGGAAATTGCAAACCTAATACAAGCATGAGCTGTAAATGTGAGATATGGCCGTTTACTATCAGTATGATGTGAAGCTAATTTTACTTTAAACTAGGTTCAAGACAAAATTTATTATTCCTTCTTGTTGCAAGTGCATAGATTATATGTTAATAATCATATCATGAGTCTCCAGGCTCTGCTTTCAAAAGGAAGCTAATTATTTCATCCTGCTACATGAGGATTCACACATAATTTTGTCTGGACAGCACAGTTACCTGAACAAACCAAGCACAATAGCCCTGTTTTGAGAGAAATGCTGTATACCTTACTACAAGTTGATGCTGATGCTCTGGCTCTGTTTCTTTCCCAGGATGATCCTCTCACTAATCTAAACACAGCTTTTGACGTGGCTGAGAAATATCTGGATATTCCCAAGATGCTGGATGCAGAAGGTAAAGTAGAACACAGTGGCTTTTAACTTGCTTTTTCTCAAGAAATTTCCCACTTCTTCTAGGTGGACTTGTATTGTACAAGAATTCAGTAACCTCTGAATGCTCCCTCCGTCACCACATACTAAATGTATAGGGAAAAAGTTACAGTGGAATAAAGGATCACATGTTCTGCTTCCCTCTTCCTCCTGTGCCCCTCAGTCTTCTGAGTCTGGTGTGGAGATCTTAACCTGGGGTTGATACACTAGGCAGAGATGAGTAACACCTGGCTATGTCCACTGCTGACTGAAGTGTTCCCTTTCAAGAGTCAGGCTTAATACTGAGTTAATGCATGGTGTAGGACTGTGTTCCTTTTGCTCCAGAATTTTTTTTCTGGGCTCTTTCTGGCAATCTTTCTTTTGGGGGCATGATATCAGTATTATAAACTGCTGCTTCTTGACTACTCAGAAGTGTTGGGCATGAAGATCCCTCACCGACTGGGTCTGGAGACCAAGGCAGAGATCCATGTTGTTCAGAGGTGCTTTTGCTGCTGACCGTGATTGCTTCCCCGAGGCCACTGGGACAGCAAGGATTACTTTTCAGAGCCTTGTCAGGACCAGCTTGGCAATAGACTTAGAAGACTGTAACTCTGGAGTACAAATAACAGCCTGAAATAGTTCACTGGTTGTTGGCTGTTTGCCTGAAGCCAGCTGGTTTCAATGGTAGAAGCTGTATTTCAGGCTTGGTTTGGACAGGAGAAGCAGTTAAAGGCTTTTGTTAAATAAGGGAGTGAGAGGAACAAGGAGGAAAGGTGGGGATAGGGCAGCTGAACCCAGTGAACCTGTATTTGGGTAACTAGGATGTTCATATTCTTAAGTAGTATTTCCCATCCCCAGGGATGAGTCTTGCTTTCCCTACATTCATCATGCTGAGGTCACAAAAAATCATGAGGTTTCTGGATTAGATTCAAGTGCTTCTTTCCATTCTGTAGGAAACAAAGCCACCTCCAAAATAAGCGGATCTAGCTTCTGATCTCAGCAAAGCTAGCAATGATAAAGAGAGCCCCTTGCAGGACCTCCCGTTGCTCTTTCCTGATCACTCTCCTCCCTCATGGAGTGGAGCTAATGTGCATTCCTCCACACCATTAATTCTGATCTCTGGAGGTGTTGAGTTTCCCCTGAAACTAATGAAAGGGCCTTTTGAAATTCAAGCCATGATTGTGTTGAAATGGAGGACAGGGGCATGGAAAGGAAGGGAGAAAGGATCTTTCCTGAAGAACTGCATGGAGGAATTGCAGTATAATATGTCTATAAAAGCCATGTCAACCTGCTGCCAGTTTGGATTGATTCAACCCAGCATTCACAGTAATGTTCTCAGGATGGGGAACTGCTGTGACACGAGACATGCTGACATATGGCTGCATTAGCCTGGCCAGACCCTGGAAGCAATTTTATCATGAGGGAGGGGAACCAGGAGGGTGATCCTGGCTTCTGAGAGAGACACATCTTCTGGGGAATGCTGGGAAGCCCTGTGAAGTTGCTATGACAAGCATATACCCCAGCAGGCCTCCTGGACAGTTGTGGTTCTCCCTCTCCTTTGCTTTCCTTACATCAGTTGATTATGCTCTTAACGTGAGGTTTTTTTTGACAGACATTGTTGGAACTGCCCGTCCTGACGAGAAAGCCATCATGACCTATGTTTCTAGCTTCTACCACGCCTTCTCAGGAGCCCAGAAGGTATCGCAGGATCCCAAGCTCCCTCCACAGAGCACACCTGGTGCCGTTGCTAATGTCCAAACCTTTTTTTCTTTCTCTCTCTCCTCTCTAGCTACGGGCATCTTTATTATTATGCTCTTGGTAGAGTTGGCTGTTGGTTCAAAGTGGTGCCCCAGACATAATATGTGGGGCCAGGGAGCCAGGAGTCCCATTTCCCTATAGTCAGTGACACTTACATATACCAGCACCTTGGCACACACACAAATCCAAGGGAGTGGGGAGCTTTGCCTTCTCCATTTGCCTTCTGAACTGCTGCACTGACAGCTGAGGACCTACGCCCCCTGTTCCTTGGAAATCTGAGCTAGGATGCTTGGTCTCACAAAGGTGGAGACCAACACATAGATGCTCTGCTCAGCAGGACACTGCAGCCTGCCCCCACTGGAAACAATGCTGATACATATTCACTTTTTCTTTTTTTTTTCTTTTTCAAAGGTGAAGAAACAGAGCTGACTTAGTGGTTTTATGAAGGGTTCAATGAATACCCAAAGCTTTATCTTTTACGTTACGTATGGTGCAGGTTCCCGCACCCTTGCTTCAAGGTCTGAACCTGCTGCTTTCTCAAGTTGTGCCACAAACCCAGTCCCAGTTCACCTGGGGCTTAGAAAGCATGTCCAACAAGTACATCCGTGGTAATTTTGCAAACAGAGCATTGCTTATCGTGACCGAGATGCCTGGTTTTGTTCATTTGTTTCTTTTTTTCCTCTTTTCTCACCCACCATGCTGGAAATCAGGCAGTTGAGTCCTTGCTGTGTCTGGCTTAGCCATTTTCCTGTTGGTAATGGAGTCACTCAAGGAAAACATTTTGTAGGTGAAACCTTGTAAATATCTCTCGCCAAAACCAAGCAGGCGCCTGTACTTCAGTGCCATAAGAACAGGCAGTGCGTGTTGCAGCAGAGCAGATACTGCGTAGGAAGTGCACTGCGTAGGAAGGCTCTGATCTCTAGCTCCTCGGCGTACAGAAGGGCCTTGAGCACAGGGCGTTCAAACCTCCAAACAGCCTATTTGCATACTTGGGCAAGGCCCCCAGACCACAGCTGTGAAGGTGCAGAGCCCAGATCCTCAGCTCGGGATCACCCTGGATTGGGCGGGTGAGAGGGAGGGGTGCCGCTTTGAGCCACAAGCCAACGCTGCTAGCCACCTTCTGATCCGAATTCCCAGCTCTCCGCATGGAAATCTGTTTGGCCTGTCCTGCAATGCATGATGGGAAGTTTTCTCCCCCTCTCTCACACCACCCATGACTGTTTTGTTTTATTCTATGTGCTGCTTCTTACTTTATCCTTTCAACCTCTTTTCCTTCTCTGCACAGATATTATAGGCACGCTAAGGCCGGATGAGAAGGCCATAATGACCTATGTCTCATGTTACTACCACGCCTTCTCAGGGGCGCAGAAGGTGAGACTTTACCGCTAACAACCCCCTCCCCTCTCCCCGCCCTGCCCACCGCTCCTCTCCACCGAGGAATGCGCCAGACCCCCGTCCGCCCCAGGGCATTTCCAGGGAAGCCCGATGCATCCAGCGATGCATTTGGATGTGCCATCTGTAGTCTTACTGGAGAAGTGATGTAAATGTCCTTTCAGACAGACTTGAGCTGCTCCTTCCCTCCAGTTTCATACCCCAGCGGTGGAGACAGCATTTGGTAAAGCTGGCATTGAAAGATGAATGAATGTCTGGTCTGACAGAGTCAGTACCCTTTCAGTGACTAGTGGGCATCATCCTGGCCAGGTGGTGCGCCTCCAGAAACACCACAATCAAATCAGCCTACTCCAGGAAATCACAGGCTCCTCCCTGAGCTGCCATCCTGCCTTCCACACTCAGCCCCTGCTAGGTCAGTGGTCTTTTCCTAGGCTCAATCATCTGTGTGCTGGTTACATAGCACTTTTGTGCTCCAGCCACAAAGTCCATTCCTACCAGGACTTGAGCTTTCGCAAACTCACACACTTCTCCATTCCTTGCTTCTTCCTGGTTATTGTCCTCTGTTTCCCAAACCACCTATATGTTTTATTTCTCTTTGCTTTACCCATTTCCATAACTTCAGTCCTTCTTCCTCTGCTTCCTCTTTACTCCAGAGTCTTTTGGTCTGGCATTGGGACATTTGTCCCCAGAGGAACCATATAGTCACAGTTTGCCTTTGGGCAAACTTCCCCCAAAACAGCAATTTCCCTGCAATCCTTTGAATAGAATAAAAACATCCATGCTTTCCTCCCATGCCATAGCCTGGCTGAGCTGCAGCCTTTCCACAAGATCACTGCTGATTTCAGATTGTAGGCTTTGGAACAATAAAATCTGAAGTTGAAGACTGCATTCTTCATGTTACGAACAGATGTAAAATCTCTGTTTCCCCCAGCCACAACTTCTTTCTCTCACTAGGCCTTTTCTCTTTGAGACACACTCCATGTGTCGCCCAGCTTGAGGGCTAACTTGGCTCCAGGAAGAGTCCATCTCTTTTGTACAGAGCAGTGCTGATGGTCTTAGCATTGATGCAGATACCATGCTGATGCTGGCTTTCAGAGGGCAAACGCAGGCAGCAGGTTCCAGGGAGCAGCTCTTTAGTTCAAGCTTTGTGTTCTCTGCCCTGTTTCATATAAATTATGTGATACTGTCTTGTTTCCAAGGAACTGGGAATATGTCCCACAGCAGTGCAGTAGACTTGCCCATTTGGCGTAATTTGTGTAGTCATGACTTTTCCACTAGGATCCTGCTTTGTGAATGGTTCAAAACCCTTAAGACCAGGCTGCAAACTCCAGCCAGCTGATACTTGCCCAGGAAGACTGTAGTCTCAGAACTTATGCCAGCCCTGTGATAAGGCCTGCTGTTTGCCAAGTGCCCCTGAGGGACAGCTCCAAGCTTTCTGCTTAACTTGAAGAACTCCTGATTGAGGAAACTGCAAACCACAATATGAGGAGGGTTGTGGCCTGCTGCAGGAGCAGCTGTGCCCCTCACCAATGCCTTCCTCTTCCCTCTCTACCCATTCCACGATGTGGAAACCTGCTCAGTAGGTCCCATGCTCTCATCAGCAATTTAGGTGGATGCTAGGTCTCCTGGGATAACTGAAAACAACCTTTTACTGCCTCAGGACCTGAACCAAGTAGCTGGGGCAAGAACTAGAGCTGGAGCTTCTTAGTTATTAAAGCTTCAATCCTGTGTAGTCTAACTGGCTTACAGGGAAGACTGAAGATTTAATTTTTTAGCAGTCCTGATGGGCCAGCAACTCAACTGTGCCCTGGCAGAAGGGGCACAGCTCCTTTTTGGAGCTGCCCTAGCTGTGCATTAGCCAGCTGCTGAGTGACGCAGATTCAAACCCCTGGGCAAATGCAAAGTGATTACTGAGTACAAGCCCCAGCCCAGACTGTAATGTCTTACCACCTCGTGCATGGTTAGGTGACTTACTGTGATATTGCTCCATTTTTCATTCAGATTTTTCATTACTGCCACCAGTCCTGAAGGGAAGTCCCATGAGCTGCTTTCTGCTTCTTTCACTCTCTTATACTGAGCTTTTGAAGGTACAGGGTCCCCAGCCTGACGTGTGTGTAGATGGCTGCTTTTTCTTTATGCCATTTTATATATATATATTTGTAGGTATACTTGCTTTGGTTGGTTTGCTTGTTTCCTAACTGCTTCTGACTTTCACACTAAATGCATGCAACTACTGGTTGGCTTGATATTTTGTAAACTTAATTTCTGGGGTGAAAATTTCTAACTAACGTTTTACCATTTTATTAAGAGATTGTGTTTAGCATACAGTATTCTGGAGTGGTCCTCTGGGGCCAGAGGACGGCAACAGGAAGGCATCTTCCCTGTGTAGCACACTGTGGGAGTGCCTTCCTTTATGATCCTTCTCAGCAAAGAGACCTGGATCCATGAGCTAGAGAGACAGCTAGGCAGTCCAGGTCAGGGTTGAGAAGTACAGAAAAGACAAAAGGCAGAGAAATTACTGCTACTTTGGCTATTCACATTTCCATTTTGAGTCCACCAGACATCACATGCATATCACACAGCAGTGTGGTATCAAGCAGAATGCCCTGGGCTTGCCCTCCCCACAGTCTCTGAGTGCAAGCAGTATTAATGTGTCAGCACGATGCTTCAGTGAAGCTGATCAGCTTACACAAGTTCTCTGAGAATACAGGTATGCAGCTTCCAAACCCCAGGATGGTGCATTTTCTCAGTGGTGCTCCATGCCTTGTGAGCATCCTGGCTTGTTTGGAGCTAGTGTGAGCATCCTAAATGCATCATTGCTTTTAGCAGTGTGGGGAAGTCAAAATTACTTTTTTCACTCCACTAACGAAGGTGTAGGGGGAGCTGCCTTGGCATCATATAAATATCTTAGCGAGCCACTCTTCCTTTACCTGGAAGTGTTTCACTGAGGTTGCCATCATCACAGATCAGCTCATTAGCAGCAGCGTGGGAGGTATTTGTGGAGGTTACCTGAAAGCACTGGGATCCTTTTGTCCTGCCTTGCTCAGAGCAAGTCAGTGCAACGCATTGCTCATGACATTAATGGTGATAGTGGCCACAGAGCCTTTCCTGCTGCTGCAGCAGCAGCACACTGTTGCATAGAGCAGTCTGGAGTAGGCAAGAACCATTGAGAAGCAAGTACTGGTAGGGGAGAGAAAGCCTGTACACTTCAGCCGTTAGCATAATACAAATAATGTCGTAATTGCTGACATTCGGAGGGCTTTTGTGTTTGGGCAGATGTTCAACACGTATATATATATATATATATACACATGCACATATTTAAAAACTTGGGCAGCTGGAGGAAATCTATCGTTGGGTACATGTCAATATGCCTCTGTGAAATGGGGTCCCTCCTGCACAGCTGGCTGCTGCTGCAGTGAGCTCCTGGGGTGTAAAAAGAAGAAAGTTAAGAGTGTGCAGGGAGCTCCTCTCCTGGGGTGATTGAGAGAAACATTTGGCACCAGCAGTTCCCTGCAGTCACTAAGCACATCATGGTAGGGCTCTGGCAATGTCTTTTTGACACACTGTTTGGTTCCATGTTGTCATGATTTAACCCCAGCCAGCAACTAAGCACGACGCAGCCGCTCGCTTACTTCCCCCCCACCCAGTGTGACGGGGGAGAGAATCAGGGGAAAAAAAAAGTAAGACTCGTGGGTTGAGATAAGAACAGTTTAATAGGACAGAAAGGAAGAAAAGAATAATGATAATAATAATAAAATTACAATAATGATAATAATAATAAAATGACAATAATAATAAAATAATTGGAATAAACAAAACAAGTGATGCACAATGCAATTGCTCACCACTCGTCGACCGATGCCCAGTTACTTCCCAAGCAGCGATCTGCCCCCCTCCCCCAGCCCAACTCCCCCCAGTTTATATACTGGGCATGACGACACATGGTGTGGAATATTCCTTTAGCCAGTCTGGGTCAGCTGTCCTGGCTGTGTCCCCTCCCAACTTGTTGTGCTCTTCCAGCCTTCTTGCTGGCTGGGCATGAGAAGCTGAAAAATCCTTGACTTGGTATAAACACTACTTGGCAACAACTGAAAAACATCAGTGTGTTATCAACATTATTCTTGTACTAAATCCAAAACATAACACTATTCCAGCTACTAGAAAGATTATTAACTCTATCCCAGCCAAACCCAGGACATATGTCTATAAAGTTTTCTCTGGATACCAAACCCCACTCCATTAAAGTAAAAACTTTAGTTAAAAACAGATCAAAATACAAACTCTCTTAAATGTAATCATCATTTGCACTTTTTGCAGATTATTTTTTTTTTTAAGTTAAATTGCTCTTTCTCCTGTACAGGTCCCTCTGATATGTTTTAAATTGGTTAATATCTGTGTATCTGCTAGCTGGCCCACTTTAGTGAAGGGATAGATGACTGAATATGTTTTTACAGCTTCTTACAAATGAATAAGATTGCCAGACCCCCTGGGACCTTAGCAATCTATACATCTCTGTATAGCCTATGACTTTATTGCTATTCTTGTTGCCTCGCATCAGCTGCAAAAAATAGAGGATTTTTCTCAAATGGCCTTGGAGATTGAATAAATATATAATAAAAGGCCTTTTAAAAATAGAAAAAGGTTGAATCTTGCCAGCTATAAGCTCAGCAAAACTTCTTTTGGCATCAGTCCCACACAAAGTTTTAAGGCAGGACACAGCATTCTCAATTGGTCTGTTGTGGTGTTGGCATGTACACTCTCCTCTTCATCTCCACTTAGCCTCTGTAAGGAGGACTACTCCACAGAGGCCCCGTGGGTAGCTCTAGGACCTTCCCCAGTGTCTATAAAGTTTTCTCTGGATATCAAAACCCACCCCATTAAATTACAAACTTTAATTAAAAACAGATCATCAGGGCAATAGCTGTACTGTGGTAAGAGGGTGCTGAGCAATCCCCTGACACCCCTCACAGGGGCATATCCCCCGGGTCTTTGTGGCATGGCACCCACCATGATAATGATAAAGGGAGGTGATATCCACAGGTACATGCTGTGCAAGGATCAGCCCGCTGTATGTTCCCCATGCCAAACACATGCATGGCACTCCAGGGCAGACTGGCTGCTCCTGAGTTCATAGCTGGGATTTTTCTGATCCTTACTTTGTTCCAAATTCATGTTTTAACATGTTCAACTCCCTGCAGAGAACAAGGTTTTGGTCCCACAATGGAAAAAAACAACCTAAATAGTAATAACAGGCTCTTTTTTGGTGAGACTTGTTTTGGGAGAGTAAGCAGAAAGATTACCCGGAAAGGAGAAAAAAAAAATCCTCAGCTGGATCATGAGACCTTGAATACATGGTAGGTGTCATGTGGCAAGATGCTGGAGGAGGTGGCCCTGTAATGAGTGCCAGAAATACAGGGAAAGCTTGAAGACAGCTCTGCTGGGCAGAATTTAAGGTTAAGAAGAGTATCTACCACTTTATCTTCCAAACAGAATTAGGAATTTTCCAAAGTCCAGTCTATGGATTAACCCTGTTTAGGTAGTTCTTTCCTGGTATAAAAGCATGTAGAGAGTCTCATCAGCTTGACACCACTCAGTTACTGGTGTTGCAGCTCTGAATGCTGGTGAGGGCAGTGGAGGTGGTGGCAGAAACCCCCTGTCTTTGTAAAGAGGCAGCCAGGGGCCCTCTGGTAGGAAGCAAACAACAGGGCCCTCTCATAGAATCAGCTTCAGAAAAGGCATAGAAATGTGGTTGTCTCACCACACATAGGGTGGGATCAGTAGAGCTGAGAATCTCTGAAGTAATTTATTCACCTGAGAAGGGAAAAATAAATTATTGTAGAAGGTCAGATGGAAAGCAAAGAGGTGAGGACAGATGTTTTGAAGTGCAGACAGGTTGCTAGAGCCAAGGGTAGGAGACTTTACCTGCAGGTATGTAGCAGGAAGCTAAGCTGCAAGCTTTGGTTTATATTTTTTATTCACACTTTTCCCTTCTTCTGTTTTTCTTCTCTTTGTCAGGCGGAGACAGCAGCAAATCGTATCTGCAAGGTGCTGGCAGTCAACCAAGAAAATGAACAGCTCATGGAAGACTATGAAAAACTGGCCAGTGATGTAGGTGTCCATGGTGCTGTTGGTTTCTGGGTGGTGGAAAGGAATTGCGTTTAATGCTGATAACTAATCTTGGGGAATGCTATTGGCCCATGTTTTCCTGGAAAATCCTTTTTTTTCCCCCCTTCTAGCTTGAGAAAAATTAAAGATTGAACTTATCTTAAAGGGAAGAGCAATCTGCTTTAAAACAGAAAGCTTCCATAGAGCAGCTTTGAGTTTATCAGTTTAATAAGAGCAGCTGCAGAAATGCTAAAATTAAAGAAAGAATCAAGCTGGTCTAAGTTGCATTCCTCAGGACTATACAATTTTGTAACATCTTTCATACAGATTGTATGCTGAGGTACTGCAGAAGTCATGAATTGGATCGGAGAGAATGGAAGTTAGAGATAATTGAGGAAAGAAATATGCGTTTGCTGATAGTTGGAAAGAATCTGTGTAAGATACAAGCTGGAGGCTGCTTTGGTTAACTGAGAAGGCTGACAGACTGACAGCTGTGAAACTACAGAAGTGACCGAACATGGACTGGACTGTGTTTGTGGAAGATAAGTAGGGAGGGGAATATGGAGAACAGAAGAGCAAACATAGCCCATGAGCCTGGTTTCAGCCTGGTCTGAAAAGCATAGGACACTACTCCATTCACAGTATAAACTGTCTATTGCATTAGCATTTTGCTGGCTCCTCAGATAGATTTGCTAAAGAGAGCTTTTCAAAGAGCAACACTGACTTCAAGGAAGCTAGAGTGGGAAAAGTGTAACTGGAGGCAAGAACTTGATTTCTCCTGTCAGACCCTTCTGGAGATAATATGACTTACAGCATCCTTTAGTTATGCAACAGTCTAGCAAAACTCTAAGGCTTTAGTGTAATCTGAGGACATAGTTTGGTCCTGATTGTGTGAAAGCTATGGCTTAAGCATGTTGGATTGGCAGTACTGCAACAAGCAGTACTACTTAGCGTGGTAGGGAATGGGCTGCTCATTAAAAAAAAATGCATCCAAAAAAGCTGGCAAACTTTTCTTTACAAGCCCTGCTGGTGGGAGAATCTTTCTGGCAGCAAACATAGAAGTAAACTGTCCCTAATGAATTCAGAGCAACACCTGTAGTTTTGACACAATTTTCAGTTCGAGGCTTGTCATTGCTCTTTCCAGCTGCTGGAGTGGATCCGTCGCACCATCCCCTGGCTGGAGAACCGGGCCCCAGAGAACACCATGCAAGCCATGCAGCAGAAACTGGAGGACTTCCGGGACTACCGCCGCCTGCACAAGCCCCCCAAGGTCCAAGAGAAGTGCCAACTTGAGATCAATTTCAACACCTTGCAGACCAAGCTGCGGCTCAGCAACAGGCCAGCCTTCATGCCTTCAGAAGGGAAAATGGTCTCGGTGAGTGGGGCTAACTGCTCGTATATACCCCAACCATGCCTAAAAAATGGGACTCCTTTTGTGCCCATGGGTGGGCAGAGCATACCCCAACTTCAGAGTGAGCTATTCTGTGGTAGGAACCCTACAGAATATAGTTCAGTGAGGCTATAATAAGAGAGGGTCAAGTGATCATTGCTTCCCTGTATCTAAACCAGACTGAGGCTCTTCACAAGTTGCATGTCTTTATGAGGAGATGTCTAGGTGCCTCTTATTTTTTCTAATTGAAAAATGGTTTTGTTGAAGTTTCATGTGGGGAAGTGTTTCGAGAGGGACTCTCGTGCAGACAGGTATATCCTGACACTGCTAGTCCTGCTTATCTTAAGTCTGGCACTTCGTCTTCCTGACCTGTTTGCACAACACTATGAGATTAAAAGCCTACATCTACTCCCTCCAACCAGTTGGAGCCATATAGCTCATGGAGACTAATGCTGATGTACATCTTTCCCCCTATCTTCTAAAATGCCTTTTCTTCTTGTGCTTCTGTCTCTAGGATATAAACAATGCCTGGGGTGGCCTAGAGCAGGCTGAGAAGGGCTATGAGGAGTGGTTGTTGAATGAGATCCGGAGGCTAGAGAGGCTGGATCACCTGGCAGAGAAGTTCCGGCAGAAGGCATCCATTCATGAGTCCTGGACAGATGGTAATGCCAACCTACCTGCTTCGTATCGCCTGACATAGTGCTGTCCGTTATGTAGGGAGGAAGAGATGGATCATGCATAGGTGCTTCCATGAGATTTTCCTCTCAAGAATGCTACGTTCGTTTCTTACTTTATTAGAAAAGAATGTATGAAAATCAGCTTGATCTCTGTTCTGCTACATAACACGGCCACGTTGGCATTCCCTAACAGTTGCAAAGTGAGAACTTTGGATAGAAAAGAGCTACAGAGCAGAGGAAAAGTTACCGTACAGTAAATGTTACGGCTGGCATTTACAGGACCAGCATAGCCCAGTTTGCATACACTGAGACTAGTCCAGTATAAACTGTCACAGCACTGGCTTGAGCTCCACTATGTGCCCTTCACTGTTGCTAATGGCAGACTCACGCTCTGTGATTTGAAAGTGAGGATTGTGCATCTCTAGGCCAGCACACATGAGGGCAAGCCTCGAGCAGGGTGTCTGGAGTGGGGCAGATGCCCTTTTGAGGGCCTCCGGGATGGGGAGATGGCTCTGGGGGCATTGGGTCCTGCCCTTCATTCTCCTGTCCTTTGGCTCCCTCCCCAGGTAAGGAAGCAATGCTGCAGCAGAAGGATTACGAAACGGCTACCCTCTCGGAGATAAAGGCCCTGCTGAAGAAACATGAGGCCTTTGAGAGCGACCTGGCTGCACACCAGGACCGCGTGGAACAGATTGCTGCTATTGCACAAGAGCTCAAGTACGGCACCCCGGCACACATCCCATCCTTGTGGCCAGAGAGGCTTAATCAGCGTTGCCCTCTGCCCTCTGGCGAGCCATAAATCAATCTCCATACAAAAATGTTGGGAAGTCCCAGTGTTTCCAAACGGTATCTAGGATACTGCTCTCCAGTATCCGGACGCACCACAAGAGCAGGCCAGAAAATGGATGAGTCGTGGGTGCTGATGAGGGGGTGGCAGAATTATATCCCCAAGCCAAGTTTCCAAGTTTCTTCCAGCTCGTTATGCTGCTGTGAACCCTTTCCTAAAGAGTCTGACCTGCCGCTGGTGCCTGCTAGGTTTCAGAGTTGTAACGCCGTCATACTTTTCCAGGAACAGTAGAAAACAACAGAGCATAGCAGGCCTTCAGTTTGTTCTCTTTTATCAAAAAAATCCTCCTTATTCTGGCAGGAAAAAAAATCTGCTGATGCCTGAGCCCATCGTGGCCTCTGCTGCCACCCCCAGCTCTTTGTCCCAGGAGCTCCACACCTATGGACTCTGGTCGGCACTTGCTCCAGGGCATCCCCACAGCAGCTCAGCTCCCTTCCTGCTTCCCCCGGCTTGGAAACCTTCGCTTCCACTCCCTTTCCTGGAGTGACGAGTGACACAGGTTACCAGGACAAATGGGGTCTCCTCAGGGCAGGAAGTTGATTACTAGGGATAGCAGGCAGGTAAAGAGCTGGTCTCTGCAGCATAGGGAGAGAAATTTTGAAACTGTGCATGTTTCTTGGCAAAAACAGTCTGAACAACTTGGCGTTGACTTTGTTTCCTATTTTAAAAATATTTATATATCACACTGGCCTATGTCAAGTTAGTGTCTGGGCTAAGATCAGTACTTTTGGGCTGAAAGACTGTTTTTTCTCTAAAAAATCAGGATAATTGGATCAAGATCATTATCTCCTTTAACAACACAGATTTACGGAATTGCTCCCTTGTCCACTGGAGGATTGACCTTGGAACAGGAGGAGCGTTCAAGGCAATCCTCCATGTCAGTAAGATTAAAACCGAGGCTGGCTAGTCAGCAAGCATTAGCTGACCTGCCACTTCCAAAGCACATGCTACATGCCAGCCAAAGCAGCTGCAGCTCTAAGAGCAACAGGGAAGGCTGGGCCTTAATATGGGGGAGAGGTGATTTCTTCCAAAGTGTGAGAAGAGCGGCTCTGTCATCCTTCCAAAATCCATTTTCCACCTCAGCAAAGACGCCATGCCCTGAAAAACCATGGCTGAGCTCTTTTCTCCCCCAGAAATACACTGCCAGGGAGATGGAGAGGGTCTCGAGGAAGCCACTGCAGCTGCCCATGCCAGGCGTGTTTGCGGGCATGGCACATTCCACTCCCCAGCAGTAGTGGTCCAGCATGGGTGTGTTACAAGCCAGGCTTTCAGAAGCAGTTCTTTCATCTGCAGTGCTGGCTCTGCAGCAAAGTAGATCAAGGAACTGATCTGGATTAAAAACCCAGCAAAGAAAAAGTTATTTTTAGCCCAAATCGGTTTCCTGACTAGTTTACCGCAAGACTCCATCAACAGTTGTGCCCACACACCTCAGAAGGGCAATACCGTGGTTGGAAGAAACAAGGCTGGGGGAGGCAAGAGGAAACTGTTTAAACCTGCTTAGAGAAATGCTCATCACACGGCCCAGGGTCACTCAGTAGCCCAGTGAGTTATTCTGCTTTCTCTTTCAAGGCTGACACTTCCCAGCTTGGCTGGTCTCCCTCTGCCTGCCGGTTTCTCCCTCTTTGACCATGTGCAGAACCAAGAGCACAAAGCAATCAATACAAGACCAGAAACTTCAGCTTACCCCCGTGCTCTCCTTTCCCCAGCCATACTCTTACCAGCCTGTCTTCTGTGGGTGCCAACCTATAGACATCTCAGCAAAGCACTCCCTGTCAGGCATATAGGAGAGAAACCTACACTGTAATTCTGGGATTGTCCTAAATAAATGAATGGATTGTGTAATTTAGCTATTACTTGGCACCTGTACTATGCAACTCGTAGAACGATCTTAAGCAGTTTCTTTGCATTCATAGTAAAATCTTTGCTGCCCATTCTGATGTGCGAGATACAGGTGGTTAGCCTGCACGATGTTCTTAAGCAGAATACAGGGGCATATTGCTCTGCTCATAATCTGTTTATTCTCAGTTTGAGCAAAAGTGTATACTCCCTTCCACCAGTGCCAAGTTATTCCCATCAGGCAGCCAGCACCAGTGTTTGTTGAGGGCTTGGGTGGTGGTTGTTTTTCTTCCTGTTCTGTGCTGTTTGATGTACTATAACATACAGTGTCTCCAAAACGAGAGACTGCTGTCTTCCTGGCTCGCTTTGCTTGCAGAGACCATGAGCTCTTTGAATCAGTCCTGAAGGCTGATAAAGATTTCTAATGGGTTTCTCTTTCTTCTCCAAAAGGTATTTATTTGACTTCTTGTCCTTTTTTCCCCTACCCCTTATAGTGAGCTGGACTATTACGACTCTCCCAGTGTCAATGCCAGGTGCCAGAAGATCTGTGATCAGTGGGATAATCTGGGTGCCCTAACCCAGAAACGTAGAGAAGCCTTGGAGGTGAGACCTGTTACAACTTGGACCTTTGGGATTACGTGGGTAGGTCATTTGTGGAAAGGAAGCTGCAGCAGGCACGAGCAACCAATTTCAGCTCTTTTGTGCACTCCTAGAACATCCTGGATGGTAAACAAGGGCTACACTTCAGTATATTTAGCCTGCTTTTCCCCTTCCAGCCCAATTATAGTGCCATTCGTTTGCTCAGGCTATTGATTTATTTCTACTTTTCTGTGTTTTGTAATTTTGTTCTGCTTGAAAAGACTGTCCTTGTTTTATTTCAAAAGACCTCAGATTTTTCCATCAGAGTAAAAAATCCATCCTGTGTATAATCTCTTAACAGCAGAGAGACTTTTACTGTAGTGCTGTCCTGGGAGCACCTAGGTCTGAAAGGAAAGAGCAGCTCAGACAACCCACATATCTATATGATTACTCTTCTCTAACCATTTTTTTCTGATTTTCTTTCTTTTTTTTTGTGCATGCGCAGAGGACAGAGAAGCTACTGGAAACAATTGACCAGTTGTACCTGGAATATGCCAAACGAGCTGCCCCTTTTAATAACTGGATGGAAGGGGCCATGGAGGACCTGCAGGACACGTTCATTGTTCACACCATTGAGGAGATCCAGGTACAGAGTAGTCATCTGCACCAATCAGGTTGGGATAGAGGGAAGTCGGGTCTCCTGGATTCCTAGTGGTGCCGAATTTGTAGGTCATGTTTTGGTACTTCTGCTCTAGTGAGTGAGCCTTAGCAAAAGAAACAAAAAGGAGTATGTTTTTCCTTGATTTCCTCCAAAAACCTGGATCTGAATATGTATGAAATGTGCTCACACCATCCTAGCTGAACACAAAGAAGTGACAGTGGATTTTTCAGTGTAACTCCAGAGTCTTATTAATGAAAGCCTGAAAATTGAGTGACTCTCTCTTTTAGGGTCTTCTGGGGTTTTTTTTAACCCACATAAGCAAAGCTTAATGCTGCTCACAGGTTCTGCAGGTCAGTTGCCCTATACAATGTCATGACCAGGTCATCTGGTCCTATGTGATAGGACGTGCCATGAGGGCAGTAATTGTCCGCTTTGGTAGTGGATTAGGATTTGAAGCAAAAGTCTTCTTGCCTCCTGCAAGGCAACAGAGACAATATCTCAGTTTTCCCCCTTCTGAAAGGGTGTTACAAAAGCAGCTTGAGGTATCTACAGGTAATTTTCAGACCTTTGAGAGCAGGAATTACTCTTCCTGGGTTGCAGTGGGGACTTCTATTTCTCCTGCTTGATGGGCTTATGAAAAGAATCCAAGTCAGCTCTTTGCAGGAATGGCTGACAACAATGTGGCCATCAGTGAGGCAGCGAATGGGAGACCAAGAGGAGACACTACACAGCCAGGGCAGTGAAGGGGTAGTGAAATAGCCCTAGCCTCGTATCAGCTCTGTTACTGAGCTGCTACTTGTTTCTTCTAGCCTTCTCTCCTGAACAAAGGGGTTCATTAAGTCTTTCATTAATGCAGAACAAATCTGAACAGCATTTAAACACTTCCATCATCTCTTTGTGACTGTTTGCCATATCTTTCCCAGCCCCCTAGACTTGCATTACATCTCTATGGCCACTGCAGCAGCTGCAATGTAATGAGTCACCATGTAAGGAAGGAATTTTACAAAAAGTAGTTACAGTGTGTGTTGTAAAAGAGTAGTCAATTATACAGTTTACTTTCATTCCTTCTCCTGTCCACACTGTTCCCTTGATTATCCCTGCACATGCCTCTCTGTCCCCCACTTGTTTTGTTGCCTTTTTCCCTGCATTTGCTTCCCTAGTCTTGATCTTCCAGGCATCTGGGATGAAGTACCTTGAAGGCCTGTAGAAGCAGTGGGAGATGAGCCAGGACCAACTGGCTTGTCAGCTGTCCACAAACTACCAGCAAGCGTGCCCCCGCCATCGGTCCTTGGAGCAGAGTCTGGGCAATGCAGCAAGACGGGAAACAGAAAGGGCCTGTTGTGTTCAGGGAGAAGGAGCTGGTTTTCAGCAGGAGGAGCATATGTTTCCTGTGCAAGTTTGCAGTTGGCTGAAGACCTTTACCTAGTTCTAACTGACTCTGATCAGACCAAATCTGACTTTTACTATTAATCTGGAATTATCTTAGGTGTAGAACTAGTGCATACCTAGTGGGAAAAGAAAAACATGGCACATTTACACTAGTGAGACATGACTGCTTTAAAGTAATGCTAGTAGTCAGACCTTCTTCCCAAAGGGGCTGACAGGCAGTCACTGAGCAGTGTTGGAGAAATAGTTCCCCTTAAATTATGAGCCAGAATTATTCCACCATTTTTTGGGATGTGATCTCTGTCACTGGTCAACATGGGACAGAAACAGAGGGAAAATGAGACTTCACATCATTTAACTACTTAAAACAGCCTGTTCACTGATGCTGAGAGAACCTGAAAAGTGTGTTAGAGTAGCCTGCTTTGTATCCTGGGAATATGTAAGCTTTTGCAGTTACTTCTGCAGGGATACATTTGCTGAAGAGGCTATTCAGTAACTAATGCTCTTACCCTCCCTTTGCTGCTGCCTTCCTTCTGCAGGGATTGACCACAGCACACGAACAGTTCAAAGCCACTTTGCCAGATGCCGACAAGGAGCGACAGGCCATCCTGGGAATCCACAATGAAGTCTCAAAGATTGTCCAGACATACCATGTCAACATGGCAGGAACAAATCCTTACACTACGATCACCCCACATGAGATCAATGGCAAATGGGAACATGTGAGTTCTTTCCAACCTTGCAAGTTAGTGTGGGCGGATGCCACTGCTCAATCACTGAGGCCCCAGGAAGTGGATTATTTACTCTTCAGTTACCCTCTCATGCTTACTGCTGAGCTTTTTTTTTTTTTTTTTGGTCATTTGTTTTCGGCTCAGTTGCCATGTGCTTGGAAAGTGGAAGACATCTTTCATGTAAATGCCTAAGGGATGTTTGATCCCTTTTACTTGCTATTTTTATAATGAAAGATGCTAAATTAAAAGCTTTGAGGTTTTCAGTCCTCAGTTGACCTGACAAGCACGTAAGTATGGCATGTGACTCAGTATCCTTTTTCACCATTAGACCCTTCAGATGTTTTACGTCCACAGCCAAGTAGCCTTCCCTTGCTGTAATCCTAAAAGAGCAGCTACTCTCCATACCAGCTGTGCTGATGGTTCTTGCTACCAAACAAGATCACCAAAGTGAGATCTGAACAGGGTCCTGCAATTCAGTTAACATGAGCCACCAAAAACCCAAGTGGTGAACGGAAGCTTCTTCTGGTCTTCCATTGCCCGAGATGAGTTTGCAGCGTGCACCCTACAGCAGATAGGATTCACGTTCCATGAGCCTTCCCACCATGTCCTAAACCATATGACTGCTTGTTTTCAGTGCAAACACCCACTCCTCCCTTCCTTGTGCCAATTTCTACATTTACTATACGTGTGCCTCTGTATGTATAAACTGCACGCTTTGTTACTCTTTGCTGTAGGTGCGGCAACTGGTTCCCAGAAGGGATCAAGCCCTGATGGAAGAACATGCTCGCCAGCAGCAAAATGAAAGACTTCGTAAACAGTTTGGTGCACAAGCCAATGTCATTGGACCCTGGATCCAGACCAAGATGGAGGTAGTGCTTTGCTCATTTTGAAAGAGTATGTTTTCCTCTGTGATCCTCACTGATATTCTTATCCTTGGTCTTTCTTGACCATTGTCATGGTCATTTCTTCCTTCAGGTTATAGCAAGAGAACGTTTCACAGAAAATATGGAGAATCCCAAGATTGATACCAGTTACTGAAGTTCTTGTACTTTTCTTCCCCTAACTCTTTAGTACAGAGATAAAAAACATGACTTAAAATGGGGAACACTGGTATTTTAATAGAGTTGTGTTTATATGCAGCAAGTTAAAAACCCTAGATCAGAGGCATATTTTCTGTAACGGCTTTCACAGCAATAGTCTTGATACACATGACAAAATAAATACAATTAGCATATTACACATCAGTAGAGGAGACATATTGTTAAGGGAGCTCTTCTCTCTTTAGGTGAGATTTGAGTTAAAGTAATTGGAGTTGATGAAATGGAAAAATACAAAGCTATTACTGATGGCAGGAGCTGTAAAGAAGAGAGCAATTACAGAAATATGTCTGTATGAAGGGACTAACTTAGTGGCAGACAGTACATCAGAAAAAGATCTGGCTTGGTACAGTACTATCTTATGGACTGCAGTTTCCTTTTCTTTTGTATCCTTGTATGAGACACATCTCATGACTCACCTCACTTGGAAAATGTTCAGGGCTCTGCTAAAATTTTTGCTGACACTGTCTTGGCTCATTTAAAGTAACTGCTCCGTGAGATTTTTTTTGAATCATCATCCTGTGTGAGTGTGAAATAGCTGCAATAAATGTCAAGCATGTTGAGGCTTGTGCTTCCAATGGGTTCTAACTCCTTTGGCTTTGCTAATGCAGGAGATTGGCCGCATTTCAATAGAGATGCATGGGACCCTGGAGGACCAGCTCAACCACTTGCGGCAGTATGAGAAAAGCATTGTGAATTACAAACCAAAGATTGACCAGTTGGAAGGAGACCACCAACAGATCCAGGAAGCGCTTATCTTTGACAACAAGCACACCAACTACACCATGGAGGTAAATATTTTGGCAGCAGATCAGACAGCCTCATCTGCTGTGGCCAGTTAGCATCAGCCACATCTAGCTCTGGCAACGTGTTGTGGTTCTCAGGAAAATGGAGAGCTTGACAATGTGGCCAAGCATGCAACAACATGTTGCTGAATTTGTTTTTGCCTTGCTGTACTTCATGCCAACCCATTCCAATGTACTTCCAAATAGAGACAATAGAAATAACCTGCATGAGATCAACAGTATTGCTTGAAAGAGTGGCTGGTCTCATTTCTCCTGCCACCTGATTGTGGCAGCCTATTGGTGATTTTGAGCTGCCACAGCCGGGCAGAAGAAAAAAGTCCAACAAAAGCTTTTTTAAAATCGGAGTCTGGCTTTCTGTTGACAACGTGAGGTTTCTTGGAAGCAATCTGAGTTCAACATGAGTCCAGCAGAACACAGACGGGCTTTGAAACTTGTCTTTTGGTTTCTGGCCAGCTCCCCCTTAAGCAGCAGCAGAGACAGTGGAGCACCAGTGTCTTCCAAGGACTGTGGTTTATTTATTTTCTTGGTAAGGAGAGTTTTCTGCCCAACTAAGTCCTAGAAGCACTGAGTTTGATTCTCATTTGTGTTAAAGGCCCCCAGTATGTTGCCTGACAAGGCAACGGAACTTTGCAATAGGACCAAGACTTTTTTAAGATCAGGAATTGGCCTCTTCAATGTTTTTTTTTTTAGTCAAAATTCAGGTTTTAAACATCTGGTTGGCTCACTGCAGATGAGAAGGAAGTTTTTCTGAGCAAATGGACTTCTCCTGCCTTGGCCACAAGGATCATTTCATTTGCAACAAGTAGCACATCCTGTCCACTGGACTGGGAGGCAGAAGAGCTACTTTTTAATTTAAAAATTGTCCTGTCCTCTTTCTCCAGCATATCCGAGTGGGCTGGGAGCAGTTACTAACAACAATTGCAAGAACCATCAACGAAGTGGAAAACCAGATTCTGACCCGTGATGCCAAAGGAATCAGCCAGGAACAGATGAATGAGTTCCGGGCTTCTTTCAACCATTTTGACAGGGTAAGTCAGTGCTGACTGCAGCTTGGTAAGCTAAAAGTTTCCATGTAGACTGCAAAGTGCAATAAGAAGCAAACAGTCACTGTGATAAAACTAGATCAATAGAAGATGTTTCATTCTTAAAAATGCCACTCCTGTGGAGCAGTCATTCCTGTGAAGACTGCTAAGTGATCATTGGGCTGGGAGGAGAAGTGTATCTTCACAGGAAACTGCTAAGTTTCCTGATAAAGCTTAAGTATGGAAAAGTTTGAAGGCTTATTTAGGAAATTAGACTTTTACCCTGTCTTCTCCAGAGAGCAGATTATTATGCTGATTTATAAAATTCTTTGGAATAGCTGTCCGCCACTCTGACATACCATCTCATAAACCTGTATTGAGGAGACCAGTATTGCTCTTGTATGGAGCGAACAGGAGGATCTATACACACCACGGCGTTGCATGGTGTAGATAAACCCTGATGTAAAGCCTGCCTTGCCTTACTGTGGAAATACATGCCAAGGCACTAACGGGAGCAGTAAGAAAGGAATTCCTTAAAGGAAATTCTCCTCCCTCAATTTGCCAGCCTGTCTGCAGCTCTTCCTTCTCAACCCGAATCACAAAGGTGTCATGCAGGGAAGCAGAGACAGCAGCCCAAGCCTGAAACTGGCTCCATTATCAACCCCGTCAACGTTGTCTGGAAATCCATGAGCAGCCTGCAGAGATACTAAATCAGTGATGCAAATACAGGTTGCTCTCCACCACTTGCTGCACCAGCCAGACTGTTTGAAAGGTCTCCAGAGAACAGGGCTGCAGCCCACCCTCAGAGATTGGCAACACTTTCAGATTGCTTGAACACTGGCTATTTCAGCCCTTCTCTAGCTGCCTGAGAAAAACAAAAAACATGGCTTCTTTTCTTAGCAGAGGGACCCATAAAGCCCTGTAGATGTTATATTTTGACCTTCATATCGTTTGCCCCTCTCTCCACAACAATCCGAATGATAATGCAGAGAGAATGTGGGTTTCCCATCTTCATCTGTGTATTTGATTTATGAAGGCTTAACGCTGACTCTAAAAGCTGATTTTCTGAAGAAAGTCGCTTGGAATTGGCCCCATCATCCTGTCTGTAGCTTCCTTGATCTGGCCAGAGATGGTGTCAGCAGGCAGGGGCTCTTCAGTGCTTGGGAGCTGTCCTGAGCTAAAATTCTGCAGGGTGGATTGGGATGCTCAGTTCCTGTGCTAGCTTGTGTATAGTTTGATGGGTACATCCAAACACTGGGGGAGCGGGGAATGAGCAAAGGGAAGAGCAGCTGCCAAGCCATGTTGTGCTGCGCTGTACAGCAGTGCTGTTTGCAGAGCTGAGCACTTGAAATAGCTTTGCCAGTCAAAGCACCACCTCATGTGCAGGTGTCATAAATACAGCCATAACACTGCTCCCCTGAGCTTCAGCTGTTTTTCCTTGTCTGTTCCTGGGATGCCCTGACAGCTAAGCTTCCTTGGGTGTGTTGCCAAACATACCTGCCCTCACCTACTCCTTTAGTGGGACTTTTGACTAGAAGATAAGGCAATGCTTCCCACTGCCTCTGCCTGCTTACCTGCACTTCGGGTTACTAGTGAAACACAGGGCTTCTGACATTATGAATAACAAGCAGTGACGCAAGTAATTCACTTGGGAGATGGAAATCTTGAGGCTTCTGAGCATTAACTGTTTTTGTCATTCAAGTGCTCTCAAGATGTGACGAGCTCTCTGAGAAGGAACTGTTCCAAGAGCATTTTTAGCACATCCTGAAATGTCATTGTGATATCTAATGTTGTGCACTTTTTATTTTTCTTCCCTGTCTTTCTATCTGCATGTCATTCTTCCTTTCCCTCTCTCCTCACCCACTGCATGGTGCACCTGTTTGTTGTCCTTCCACCTCCCTTTGAACTCCTCTGTGTCTCCTTTCCTTCTGCCCCACACCGTCACCCCACTGGCACTGCATGTCCTGCTGCCTGGCACACCGCATAACCAGGACCACTCCGGCACACTTGGCCCTGAGGAATTCAAAGCCTGTCTCATCAGCTTGGGTTACGATATTGGAAACGATGCACAGGTACTGAATGCTAGTGGTGAACACAGCCAGATGTTAAACTGTGAAAAAATAACAGTTTTTTCCTTTCTTTTCTTGTTTGTCTTAATCCATCTGTCATTGCTGTTCTTGTGTTTGACTATATATACATCACTTTTCTGTACTACTTCCTCTCTAAATGTACTTTGGTATCTATTCCTTCTTAATTCCCTAATTGTTCGTCTTGGGAGAATTCCTTTTATGTCTTCAAACTATTCCATTTACTTCTGTGTCACTTAACACTCCTTTTCTTCTCCATCCCTCAATCTGTCTTGCTTGATATCTTCATTCCTTTTTTTCATTGATATCTTCCTTGTGTGTAAACTATTCCATGTCCAAAACCACCTTTGCTTCTTCGTGGTTTCACAAACTACCTTTCCTCTATTGTTTTTCATTGTAAATCTCTCCTTCTGTCTCCTCCCCTGTGAAACTCATTCTTTGTAATGTCTCCTGTGGGTTCATTTCTCCCTCGACTGGTCTCCCTTTTCTCTCTTGGCTTTTTCCATCTTTGCGTCATTCCCTGTAGAAGAAGACTGGTATGATGGATTGTGAAGATTTCCGAGCCTGCCTTATCTCCATGGGTTACAATATGGTAATGTAGAGCCCTCTGTCACTCCTGTTCAAAGTGATTCTTGTAGGTACCTTCAAAAATAAAGGAAGAATGTGTAGTGAATCAAGGTAAATACAGCCTTATTTTCCAGAACTATCAGCAACGGATGTTAAATCTAGTATTAGTTGTATATGTATAATTTTTGTCTCGCAGCGGTAGCTGAAGGTAAAAAAATGGAAATCATTGTCTAATTCCTGTATTTTTCAAATAAGAATTATATTTATCAAACTGTGTAGCTACAAGTGGAAGAAACAATAAACTTCCTTGTATTGGTACCTACACTCTGCACAGCACAGACAACCTCCCCAGCCCTAAGTATCATTTGAACTCATCTGGAAGTATACATGACCTGATTTCTGAATACACTCAAACGCTGCCTCTCTCATTCTTACCATTTATTTCACATCTCTCTTCCTGTACATGTAAGTAAGTTCAAGTTCCAGTCATCCTCCCTGTAGCTTTTCCCTCACCAGAGTACCGGCATATTCAGAACAGTAACATGTGGCACCTTGAGAGGTGCGATAACTAATAGGAAGAGCTTCACCAAAGACTGTTGCTCATGAAAGGACAGGAGAAGAGCGTAGTGCAAAAATATCCAGCTGTACTCTCAGTATCTTTGCTCCTGATGTCAGGCAAAGCAGTGTTTAATCATTTTACTCATCAGCCCAGTATAAATACAGACTCTTTAATGTAGTGTGCCAAGCCACAGTAACATTTGATTAGATACCTTAATTACTCTTGAAGGTATACTGTTCTAGATGTGTTAGAAGAGCCTGTTCCCAGGAAAAGATGCACCTCTGCTCTCCCCTCCTTCTTACCTGAGGAGGAAGGGGTCCCAGAGATGAGAATAGATTATCTTCTGTTTATATGCAAAAAAAAAAAAAAGCAGAAAACTACACTGCAAGGTTTTGGCTTCTGTAGGATCCTTCCTGTAAAGACCACTTCCCTGGGCCACCCCAGATATGCAAGTCCTTCTTTCCTAAGCCTGTCTAGTTAAGATGAACCAGATACTATTAAAGACCCCAGAGGCATTTCTTCTGGTGGCTTCTGTTCTGGCAGCTGAAGAGAACTGTAAAAGTTCTCTTCTAGTAAATGAAAATAAAAGGAATTGATGAATGCAGATCTTCAAATATTGCTAGAGACATCTAGCATGACATGTATTACAGAGAAATTTGCATCTTCCCCTGAAGTCTGGGTGATATGTTCCCTGATAGGAGCATTGTCCTATAGGTAGATGGAGCTGGATGGTATCCTAGGTGCACAGCTGAGAATATTTTATTCTGAAGGACAAATGAGTGGGAAGCTATTGTACAAAATAGCAAGCTAAAAAAGAATATCCTGATAAAAAAATCAGAAGTGGTTTCTATTTGGCTTTGTTTTTCTAGCTGTGAGATCTGCTGCTGAACAGTTTCTCCCCACTATCATAGTACTGCTGCTCAAATGTCCAGGCTTACATGACTTTCTTGTTCTCCAGGGAGAGGCAGAGTTTGCCCGCATCATGAGCATCGTCGACCCTAACCGTTTGGGTGTAGTGACGTTCCAGGCCTTCATCGACTTCATGTCCCGGGAAACAGCAGATACAGATACTGCTGACCAGGTTATGGCTTCCTTCAAGATCCTGGCTGGAGATAAGGTCAGGCTCCACATCTTCCTTTTCTGCATCTGCATTGCTCCTGCTTTCCTTTTTCTCTTTTGTCTCCGAGAGAAGGTGTCAAGGGAAGCACTCTCCAGCATGGAGGGTATTTTCACATGAACATTGTGCGGTGCTGGAGGAATGCAAGGCTGAAGTGTGGATTAATGAGCAGCCTGCCAACGCATTTGAAAGTCCTGTTCAGCTGTCAGTCAGAACTTTGCTGCCCACTCTTGCTTTAAAAATTTAATTAAGAGCTTGGTTGCAGTTTGTTATTTTAAAATGTATGAGCAAATTCAACAGATGGTTCTTGATTAGTCTTGAAAAACTATTAATTACTGACAGCTGTAAACTTGAGATGACCTTTCTCAGACATACGTGTGTCACTATCAGTTGTTATACAATCAATAGATTTTCATAGGGGATATGCTGTAGCTGCAAGAGGAGCATCTTTTAATGACAGAAATTGGTCTAAAGTAGGAAAACTCCCAGGATGATACTAAAAGCATTCATTTTCTAAATTTGCATCATCAGTGGAACCAGCTGATAAAAAAAAAAGTAATCTTATTTTTCTCATATAACAATCCCCACTGATCTTTTATGTAATTGAACAAATAATATGTACGTGTAATATTAATGTATCTATGTTTGCTAATGATTTTATTCATCTCACTTGAAATGTGGGATACCATTTCTCTGATTGTAATGAGTTACTCTTAAATCCAGTACTGGTTTCCATGTTTCACTAATAATCTTTTCATAATCTGTAATGTAGAAACCCATGATACCTGTCCTTTAGGCATCTACCTGACTAAAGCCGGTCCTATTGTCTTTCAAAGCCTGAAAATTCCACATTATTCAGATAAGCTAATCACTGAATGAATAGGTACTTTTGGATACAGTATTACTTATTAACTTGTTTACTCTGTGCAGTACGTTAAATATACTTGTCAGTGTTCAATGTGCTCTAGTGACTATAACATGAATCAGACAGCATTTCATTATGAAGAAAAATACCTCTTTACTCACTCCAATCATTACACTGAAAGGCGGAGGGGGGGGAAGAATTGAAAGTCACAGGAGAGAGAGGGAGAGATGGTGTGAAACCCGAACCATTGTTCAGACAGACTGCAAATGCCCGTGAGTCAGTTAGCTAAAGACAACATACTGGTTAGCAAACAGGCAGCTACTGTTACCTACTGCATGGAGAGAAGCCAGGCTACCTCAGCTCAGCTCAGTGAGTCTCCAGAAGCTGAATTTACATAAGAAGTTTTGCTTGCTTATTAAAAACGTCTGCTGTGAAAGGCAAGGATTGTTGGGGGAACTGTGGAAGCAATACAAAGTGTTTGCTTGTCTGCTGCCTGCATTGGTGCCACCAGCCAGAGCTAGTGGGGATGGCTCCTTTCCTTGCTCTGAAGAGAGGCAACAGCAACTCTCAAGCAGCACAAGCAGCTGTTACCTCCTGCCAGTGAGGGACAGGATCCAAATGAAATTTCTGCTTCCTTCCATTTGCTTTCAGCAGGACCTCCACTGTCAATGGGAAGGCACAGTCTTACACTAATAACTTACCTTACTTACCTCCAGGTCTTTTCTTTAGGTGTGCCAGCATCTATTCCGCAAAAACAGTCTTCCTCTCTGTTGTTAAAACCATTTTCTTGTCCAAACGGTAGGGAGTGACTGCATTTCCTCCCAAGGTGTATGCGCAGAGAGCTCCCTGTGTGGGTGTACAGTACTAGTCGAGTTGTTGGGGTCCTGTCCCTGACTGTTGTCTGCTGCCCTGGGGGGACAGGGGGTGGTTCTCCCTCTGAGGAAGGTCAGTTTTCTGAAAGTAACGATCACCTTATTGTTTGTCCTCATTGCAGAACTACATCACTGTGGATGAATTACGGCGGGAACTGCCTCCTGATCAGGCTGAATATTGCATTGCTAGAATGGCACCCTACAATGGCCGTGATGCTGTACCCGGTGCCCTGGACTACATGTCCTTCTCCACGGCACTCTACGGCGAAAGTGACCTTTAACTTTTTTCTGTCCCACCACACGCTCCCTCCCCTCTCCCCCGTCCGACACGCCCTTCTTTCTCTTTGCAAAGCAGCCTCTGCTCCGCTCTTTTTTGTGTTTCCCTGTTTTGCTTCAGATAACAGATCACATTTTTAAGTGGGGGGGAGGACATTCACATGGCACCGCCTACCTTGCCCTTGAAATGACAGTTTACAAAATTATTTTGTGCAAAAAAGTTAAGTTTTAAAAAGAACAGACATATTTTATTATAGAAAAAGGTATTTTTCTCCACCAGATTGAAACTTAAAAAGAAAATGTTAAAATATTGCACCAAATATTTTTTGTTGTGACATAGAAAGTCGAGCACAATGTTACATTCCATCCTTTCCAAAAAGAACCAAACAACAACAAAACACCACTTGTTCTGTTAACTTTTACATTTGCGTATGTCTCTTTTATCACGTTTATCTTGGGAGGGGGGAAGGCACACAAGTGCATGTGTTTGCTGGTTCACTCATTTCATGAAAATATTTTATGATAAACTTTTGAAATTGCTGTGTTTTCTAGGGAAAAAATAATGTACACAGCTCATGTTTTCATATTTAATTAAAAAATACAATATGCCTCCTATGTTTATCAGTGCACAACTTTTTTTGTTGCTGAGAGTTGTCTGGTTTCAGAACATGAAGCTTGAGAGTTGATAACTTTGATATTGCTTGTCACAAACCATATTAAAAATTTCTTGTGATAACAAATCTAGACTTTATTCATTTGTATAGTAAAACTGTTTAATCCTATTTAGTTGAAACCACAAACGACAAAGAGCATCCAAAATTAATGTTTTTTAAATTGAAATTACAATACTTCAAAGGTAAACTTCCTTTCGCCCTTAAGCTTTTCATTCTTGTTGAATGATGTCGGAATTTTCACAGCTTTCTTACTACTTTTTAAATTTATGTCTTATACAATTTTTAACCATCCCTGATACACCCACATGTCTAGGAACAATATTCTTGTTACTAGACCTGTGCAAACAACCAACCACCATATCTTGAACCATCTATGAAAAATTCCTCCACTGTTTCGTCCTCAACATTGAGTATCTCATTGCTCTTGATATCACATCTTCTGACATTATAAATTCTTGCAGAGCCCTCAAGATGATCTTTGCACTGGTCATTCGAAAGAAACCAGCCTTCAGAACAATTCCTTCGGGACCTTTAATAAGTCATAAGGTATACACACACACACGTGCATGCCTGAAAATCAGGAAAGGGAAGCAGCTAATCCCTTCCCGGCCATCTCATATGGCAGGTGCATTTCCTGCCTTCCCACAACTTTTTTAGGAAATGTGGAGTTAGGAGCAAAACACTGCATTACTACTGCTTCATGACATGTTTCAAATGAGTGGTTTTTAGGTATAACCACATACTGCTGTTTCTAGTCCTGAAGGCAGTTTTTATTTTGAAGTAATGACTGCAGGAGTGGAGAATTCATGCACAGATTCACAAGGAGCTCCTGCAGCTCTGGGTAGCATTGCCTTCTGTTCTCCAGAGCAGAACTAAGTCCTGAGGAAAGCATTGTACCTGCTGGGTTGGGGCTCAGCACACCTTTCTGGTTTATTCCTGACCTTGAGTAGGACACAATAAAAATCACAGCAGTGTGTTGTGATGTATCCCAACCTGACAGTATCTGCATACTGTATTTGGGAGAGGGGACGCTAATGTCTCCTACCACGTTTCTTCCAGGAGACACCAAGATCTGCATTCTCCTGTAGGCTGGATAATGTGAGGGCATGCAAGTGAGCGCCATTTAGCTTCATTCATAGACAAGGCCAGACTGTACTCACCACAATTTGTCTTCAAAGGTTGAAGCAGAGACAGTTCACGTAACTTAGCTATAATTGCATTGTTATTGAGTGCTGGAGCTGAGCTGGAGCTGTTTCCTGTGTTGTAACCTGTGATATGGAGAAGCCTGGGGGGGTTGATGTGAATTGTCAGTAATGTAGGTCTTGCAGCCACATCAGTATTTAATCCACTTGCAAGCTCCTCTATAGGCCCATTTTCAGCTACATCACTACTACGTTGCTACAAGTGGGACTGTCCTATTCAAAGATATGGAGTGCCAATTCCATTGCCACATTTTAATGTACATGTTACCTGTTTGAAAACTAAACCAGCAGAGAGGATGACTACAGGCATGAGCAGATAATCTATATTGAAGTTTGCCTCAGAGTACTCATTGCCCTTCCTTTGATAACCCTCCTCTTTCCTCTTGCACAGTAGCTGCCCTGTCCTTGGTTTGCTGCACCTGGAAAAGGACATTTGCACTGTCAAACAAATTGAGGTTCTCTGTGGGTTGTACCTACTCCCAGAAGATGTAATGATACATTTTTTTCTTTTTTTTTTTTTAATGCATGCTTTTTTTCTTCTTTTTTTTAAATTTAAACAGTAATACCAGGGCGTGGGGAGAATATCTGTTGGGGTATTAAATGACCACTGTCCGGATAAAAGACCCATGTTATTTTGAAATAGGGCTCGAAAAAGAGCATAGGTGCACCTTGGGCCATCATTGGACCCAGGTCTGCTACCACTGAGAATGGAGCCAAGTTATTTTGAATGATCCTGATGACAGCACACTGCAAGTCCATGCTTGGAGATTCCAGAAGTCTTTACAAAAACCTTTTACTGACCTGTAGCAGTGTTGCATTCTGTGACCAGGTTTCACACAAAACCCCAGCTGGGTGTAAGTATTCCTGGTTTTATGAGACAGAAAACAGGTGGCTGATCCCTGCTTACACCACAAATTGGTGGCACTGTGTGGGCTCCAGCCTTGCTAACGCTGTTCCGTTGGCACCACAGCACTGCATCCTTTGGAGAAGTTGAGGTGTTAACAGCACCAGAAAGGCCTCGCCTGTGCTTCTGAGTAGTTGAATACGAGTTCAGAATATTGGCAATAGGTGTGCCTAAAATTTTAGGCACAGGTGCTGGTATTTCTTCTGCTTAGGTGGCATGGTCTTTGATAAACTGTCCTAGCGGTGACGTGACTGGGTCTTTCCCTCTAGGCTGTAGATAAAGCCTCCCCATTCCCACCCCATCCGAGGAGGAGCACCAGGGTGCTGCAACACATTCACCTTCCTCATGCAGCACAAGACGTATCTTGCAATTGTGCGGCCTAACAGTCTCTGGCAGTTAGTAGTTAGCTGAAACTTGAAAACAGCTTTTTGTGTGAGGCTCACGGTTTTGCAGCTAACGTGCTGTTCTTTAGCCAAGTCCTGACATCAGCCTTGATGAAATGCGTCTCTGGAAACAGCTGTTTGCAGCTCAGTGACTGCCCCTTCCCCTGCCAAGAACAGAAGAAGTGGACAATCCTCTTCAAGCTCACATCTCCCATTCAGGGGTAAACTGTTTTCGTCAGTCTGCCATACTCACTATTTTCAGGCACGGAAATTGAAATAATGCTTTCCCAAGAAATTAACCATTTTCCTTTCATGGCTGTTGACGTCTTTGGCTGCTGAGATCTCAGTACCTGCCCCAGCATGACTGTCTGACAGTACAGGGGCAAAAAACACATCAGTGCTCAGACAACATGAGTCTGTCTTGCCTGCCAGAACGTCAACCACATTTTCAAAAGCCTCTCAAATCTATCCTGTGACTGTTGCATTTCTTTAGCGCTGCCAGCATCTGGATTTGGAGTGCAGGAGCAGAGCCAGGAGTCTCAGGAGACAATGAAAGGAAACTGGTCTGCAACCTTGAATGAACTTGGTTTCAAAGAAGTATTCATACATCCACAGAGGATCCATCCAGCTGAATCAGACTGGTTTTATCAGGGAAGTAACGGACAGAGGTGTGTTTGTAATGGCTGGGAAAAGGAACGGCTCAAACTAAAATGACTTTGTTAGGAAACAAGAATGCAGGTATGATTTTCGGACCATAACAAGAAGATTATTTGTATGACATTACTTGCACTACAGATGCTGGGGTAGGACAGATTTTTTGTTCCACCCCTCTGGTAGCCAAGCACTCAGAAAGCTTAATCTTGTTGAATTAATCAAACTGCCGAGGTGACTCTGGCTACTGAAAGAATTGCTACTGTGTAAACCCTTAAAATCCATTGCATTAGCTCTAAGCTGCTGGAAAAGTCTTAGCATAATAAACCTAGATTAACAAAGTCTAGGGCATATCCTGAGACAAACAGGTAATCAGAACATTCCCCAGCACGCACCAAGAAAATGTGTTCAGTGGTGCAGTCGGTAGAGAACTCACCCATTGCGAAGGATAAAGTTGGATGATTAGATCTTGTACAGGGAAGGATGCTCTATAAGGCTATTTTAGGTAGATGTACATCTCAGCAATTTAAACCCACCAAAAATGCAAGAAGAAAATTAATCTTCTCTATATTCTGAGGACTTACAGCCAGTGTAGACTATTTATCTCACCAATATATTAAAATGGATTCCTCCTCTGTCTTTGAACACCACACAACACTCAGGAAATAGTTTCCCATTTTTGTTCTCTGCTTTGATTTCTGGGACATAGATGCATGAAAATATGTTGGTAGAAACTGCACTACACCTCACCACTGCCTTATCTCTTCTCAGCAGGTTTGTTTACACCTTCTTACTGTTAGTCAGTAGTTCACATCCTGGTGACCTAGCAAGCATTTGAGCAAAATACCAAGAAGAACCTCTAGCTATCATAATACTTAAGTGACCCCGATCCTCATACTGTTTGGAAAAGCATAATCTCTCACTACTGCTGTGGCAAGCACCTAGTGTTATTCCCACTGTGCAAATGAAGAAGGCATATGGGAAAAAAGGGCTAGATGTCACTAGAAGGTAGAAATGCAAAGCCTATATTTACAAATGCAATCCAAACACTCTCTGTTCAGCTGCTGCCCAAATCTGGAGGTATTGCTGACTAGGCTTTTCCCTATTGCACCTAAGCCTTCTCTGCATGCCTATGTTTCTGCTTCGGGGCAGACCTGGAACAGGCCATTGAAACAACTGGACACCTGGTGCCCTGTGACAGTCCCCATCATCAGAATGCCTGAGCATTCCCCTCGCAAACACCCCACGTCACCAGGGACTGCAAACCTCACTGTGTGTACAAAGAGCAGTACAAACCAGCAAGACTGGCTGCTTTCTTTGCAAAGCCTCTGGGTGGATTTGCCACCCATTTGCTCCATAAGAGCCTAACTGTCTAAAATATCTCCACAGAAGGAGAGTAATACAAGTTCAACGCTTCATCCTTCCTCAGGAGATCCCCACCTCCCAGCACTACACCCCAACCAGTGGGAAAACTAATAGACTGGGCCAGGGAGCATCCCCCCAACCTCACTCCATCTACCTCTCTGAAATAAAGATAAGCACCCAAGCAATAGGAGAGAAAGCATGAACCCATATCCTCGTGGTTTAGGCAATCAGTTTGCAGAAGGAATGCTGCATTTCAGTCCCTGACAGAGGCATTTTTTAGGTATTTTCTGTTAAACAGTCAAAGGATAAAATACAGAACAAAGCCTCAGGGTGGGAAACAGGCCCTAGGCTGCCTCTTCCAGCAGCGCAACCACTAGCTCTGCCCTCAAACTTGCTCTCCCTCAGTTTTCTGCTCCACAGTGACACAGCTTGAATGCAAGGAGCCTCCCTCCTCCACCACCACAGGCTCACACCATGGTTAGGGCACTCTGTGGTGGGTGGGAGCCTGGATCTTCAGCCTGAGGAAGTCAGTGGACTCAAGCCTCCAGAGTGATGGCTATT